GACGAAGGCGCGAGAGGCTTAGCGGCGTAGTGCCAGCGGGCCGTGAGATGCGAACACCCCTTTTCTTCGTCCTCCAAGGCAGGACACGGTGACTGGCCCGTGGCGGAGTGTCCTCGCCCCGCCCGCCGCGTGGCAAGGCAGAGAAGCAGGGCCAAACCGCCCCATTTCTCCTGCGTGGTGTGGCAGGCTAGAGCGGCCCCGCAGATCAGCTTGCGGCGGTGACCAAGCACGAACGTAGTCAGTCAACCACTGTCGTTGGGGTAATTGTAGTCGGCCAAGCAAACCATGGTCAAATGAACAACCATGGTAGACGGGCAACCGTTGTCAATGGGCATTTGACGATGATTGCCAATAATCATCGGCACCCGTTCATAGTTGACGGTGACGGTTGCGATGACAACGACAGTGAGTTGTGAGTGATTGTACATAGTCGACGGATACAGATGATTGTGACGATCCGTAGTTGACTATGACGGTGAATTGTGGTCAACGGTGACAGTTGAGGAAGACGGTAACGGATAGTCGCGCGCGCAATAAGTCGCAGACAAAGATGACGGTCGCGAGCGCAGTTAGTCACGGGCGATGATGAAGACTAGTCACGGATGACAGCAAGTCGCAGACGCAGTAAGTCACAGACGACATAAAGAGTTAATCGCGGATGCAATGACTCATGTACGACGTTGAGTATCAGTCATGGATGACAGAAAATTGCGGACGCAATTAGACGCAAAAGGTTAAGTAATAGGCTTGTAAGTCGTGGACAACGATAATGATCAATCGCGGACGACGGTGAGTATCAATCACGGGTGACAGTTAATCATGGTCGATGTAAGTCGTGAACCACCATAATGGTCAATCGCATGCGACGGTGAGGGATAATCACTAATGTAGTAAGTTGTGGATGACGGTTTTGATAAGTCGCGGACGCAGTCTGTTGTGTGTGAAGATTTCAATAAGTCGCGGACGCAATCTGTTGTGTGGGAAGATTTCAATAAGTCACAGGCGACGATAGTGGATAGTCACTAGCGACAGTTAGTCGCAGGCACTGTAGATTGCAAGGATCTTGTTAGAAGGTGTATGTCTTTCAATGAACCCAATTCATTGAAAGAGTGGGAGAATTTTCAAGATCCCCGTACGCACAAGTGAAAATTTTTGCTCACGAATATGAGTGTGGGAGATTTTGATCATTATGTGATTAATGATCAAAATGAGCGTCGGTATAAACTTGTGGAGGAGTTTGATCATTATGTAATTGATAATCAAAATGAGCACCGGTACAATGGAGCATAACGATAACAGGTACTTCATTAGACAAGAGTGTCAGAGAAAATAATCGTTGTACAAAGTTATTGCTTTGTAGAGTTCTAGACGATAATATGCTACCATGCAAATTGTGCATGGGGAACTCAGGTAAAGTTTGATAGCATAATATTTTTAGTTATCTCTTTATATATTTACTTTATCTTGTGATAGTTACGGTTTAGTTCTAGTTATATCTTGTGTAAAGAGTAATTTTGTATTAGGGTTCTTTCTTTCTTTCATTCAAAATATTTATATAGGTTATTAGATCTTTGTTCCTTCTATGCTAGCAGGTTTTGTAGTTATCTCTTTATATTATTACTATACCATGTTATAGTTACAGCTTAGTTCTAGTTAACTCTTGTGCAAAATAATACCTTGTGTTCGGATCTGTGTATAACTTTCCGCGGAATAATAATGTAGGTTACAGAGGATACTGTTTCCTTAACAAGAGTTAATGGGGAGATTGTTGAGGTTAACTCAAATCAAGGAGTAATCTTGGGTTCTAGTTAAATATAGGACGGTCTTCTTAACTGGGGATAAATATCTCGGCTTCACATGTACGAAGAGACTCTTTTTCATAGTGAGAGACCTGAAGTAATGTGCTACATGTTCCCGGTGGACATAACACCTTCGAAGTAATGAATCATATTATATCTTGTCTCGAGTGTTTATAGTTACTTGTGTGTTTTGACGATACAGTTTTATGTTGTCGATCAAGGTTCATTTCTTGTGATTAGCATTCTTTAAGTTGAATTGAATTTTTTATTTAGTATTGTATGAGTAAATAAATTTTATCAATAAAAAATATTTTATTCTATCAAATATATTTTGAAATAAAAACATGGTTTTGAATGAAGAGGTATAGAAAATTATGCATTTCATTACAAACATATCAAAATAAAATATGTTTAACCATGAACAAGTATAAAGTTTTACAATCTTTCACAAATATGTCAAATTTTATATTCATTTTTTTGTAACTTCAAGTTTAAGCTTATCACTAAAAAAAATAAAATCTTATTCTCTTCAAACTTTTATGATATAGATTTGAAATAACCTTAAAATAAGTTTGTATTGATGAGTTGCTTTTAAACGATTAGTTTGAATCTAACTAAGTACAAAATTGTGACCTTCTTGTTGAATCTAGTATCTAAAATAAATTCTAAACATCACCATATATTTTATGTAATTAAATAAATTTTATTAATTATTTTTAATTCATATATAGTTTCAAGTAACTTTAATGCTAGAAATATAAAACAACAAATTCTTTGCATATCCTTCATCTTGTTTTGATTATTGTGGTCATAATCACAACTCTACTTATCTAGGAAGATTCATTCCTTTTAAGATTTATTACATGTATGATATGTAATAATCGTTATTGAAACCATAATGAACCATTTTCAAATCAAAAAATTATAAAACATAAGATTTTCTTTAATCTACATCTTACTGCTTCCAAACAAAATATACAAATCACCTAACTTTTGGGAATGTGTATATGTTGTCTGTATTCACATCTCTTTGAAATAATCATTTAAAATTATTTTAATGAAGTGTGTAAAACTTCATGATATGGCAAACATCACGTACCTATCATAAATGTTTTGAATTCTAATATATATTAAATAATATATATTTAAATGAATAATTGAAAATTCGCTAGACACTCATAGAATAATGTCATGTTCACATGTTAAAAATAACTATGTGGATGGTGGAATGAAGATATTAAAAATAAAAATACGAATTGATACAAGTCAAAAAATGTTAAAACAAGATGGAGGAATAATTCAAACGATGGCATACATAAGTCAGCACTTGTAATACAAAGAATTAGCAAACATATTAAGAATGTGAATATTATTTAAGTGATATAAATATTTCATCACATTCAAAATTATAAATTTTTTTTATTTAACTAAAAAGTTACTTTTATATAATATCATTTGTATATTAAGAAAAAAAATTCACTCCAATGACATAGGGTAATTACATTGTCTAAAATCTTACATTTTTCACATACATCCATGTTGAAATACGACAAAATTCATTTATTTATCAAAAGTGTTAGAATGCAAAATTGGCAAAAAAAATATTGTAGCAAATATAATCAATCAAATTCAAAGTTTTATTCAGATGAGATTGTCAGTGCTATTTGTCTCTGTGACATATGATGATATATAATTTGGTGATATCAAAAAAACCTGTGTTTTGTACATCAAAGCATTTTGATTGTGATAGAATGTGGATAATGTTAAATCACACAAAGAACTTAGATGATTAATCGTGGGATATAATCTGCGTACTGAGGTTGCACTGTAAGAGAAGAATTCATATGCAATATATATATATATATATATATAGATGAAAGTAACACATTCCGCCATGGCTTGCAGATCAATAAAGTAAAGTGTATTACATTAATTGTTCTTCAAACATACAAAGTGATAGTGAAATGACTAATTAGATTCATGCTGGAATTTAGAGAACCAATGCTAGTGAGTTCATAGGAGTACCGATTTAGTGTGGGCTTGGTTCGGTGTCTTTGGCGTGCCAGAACTATGCAGTTCTCAAATCGGTTTTGTCACGATAGAAAGGAGTTCAGTACGTTACATGCGGGACTCCACGAGAGAAGTGGGATGAAACTGCCACACGCATGAGAGGGAACAGCTTCGGTGGAAAACTTCTGCTCACAAGAGTAAGTGACTGACAAGCACCTGTCACAGACACAACATCTCGATACGAGAATTTACGTCAAAGGATTGTTCCTTTCATGTCATAAGGCTCGTCGGTGAATGTAGTTTCATTGATCTGATTGTGGCCAACGTGGACAGCAATCCTTACAGAACATTCCTGTGATGATCGTTTCGACAACTGGAGCAAGCATGCATTGTAAACTGTTGGGTGACAGTAGTTTCCTACCTCAAAGATCTGACAGAAGCACATCTTCCTGATACTCTTGAAATTGTCCACTTCCACATTGAGCTGAGTCATGTGACAACGTTGTACGTCCCATCTCCAACTCATTTGGTTCTCCGTGTGATCGTCGTTTCCGGTTGAAAAGCGAAGGCCGTAGCAGTTGCAGAGAACTAATTGGTTTATCCCAAGGCGAGGAACTCTGGTGCCTTCCCACCTTGATCAACTTCGAGAAAAATGCGGGTCTAAACAAAGTCGTCGGTACGAATGAATCCTTTTGGCCCAAAGAGTTCCTGGACTCCAGTCTCCTTGTTGAATATTGTCATTATTGCACCCTCGTAGCCGAGTCCCCACGTCTACCCATCCAGGGCTGACCCCTAGAATCACAGCCGTGATTCAGAAGCTGACATAAAACAGCATTGGGAGTGATGAAAGGAAGCCATGTGCTGAACAAGCAAACTTGAAGATCGGATGTTTCGGTGAAGGATGAGACAAATCATAGCACGATGTAAGACGGGCACCCGATTATATCTCACGATTAGAATGCCAGTCTCCTCGTTGAGTAAATTCACAACAAGCCCTTGGCTATCGGTGTACAGAATATCCACACATCATCGACGTTTCCTCCAGGGCGAGTTTGGCCATCTTTTGGATCGGGCTTCTGTATATACATTCTTGAAAATACCCGACTTTGTAATTGCATTGAGACTTTGTTTGGCGTCCTTGCCGGTGAGCTCTTGCCGATATTTTTTCTCAAATCCTGCAGGATTGTTTTCCCACAGCTATGATCTTTATTGATGAAGGTTCTTCACACAAGGTTTTCCTCAAACATTGCTTCTCTTCTTCAAGAACTAATACAAATGATCAGACTCTTTCGGCGTATGTGAAGAAGGTCATTCTTTCGCTAGCTCCAGCTCGAGACATATGTGTTCTGCAACTTTTTAAAACCTTTTGACCACCTGGTAGGTCGGAATCCAACTGAAGATCGACACGCTTTGCTGGAAGAATTTGCTTGCCATCTGAGTTCCTGCATGCATCGAAGGATTATTTCTGCTGTCGCAGAAGATGCAGTGAGTTCTTAATGTTAATGAAGGTCTTTTCTTCTTGACGAGAATCACGCGTCATGATAATATATAGATTTTCCCTTTGGAGCTTCCTTACTACATCCGAATCGCTGGCCCTACCCTTGAATTCAATCGACTCATTCAACTCAATTAACGATGTATACTTGCTACCTTGCCATGCTTTGTCTGATGGGGAAGCCTCTGATCGAGTTGTTTGAATGAGTCGCCATCGCTGAAGATCGTGACAAAGGAGTAGTGCCTAAAAAGTTTGTACTTCACAAATGTAAAGACTTAAAGCGGAGAAAATGAGCCATCGCAGCTGCAGAGTCCAATATGCCAGTCTTATGAAAACGAATTCTGCGACTTCAATAAATATGACGTGAAGCAGTCGAGCCACACTTGCAGAAGCTGCAAGAAGCTGTGGACTGTGGGAGGAGTCATTCGGAGAAAGAACAAGAGAAAAGCTTTAGAACATGTGGAAGAGAAGATCGTGATTGTCAAGGACGAAGAATGTAGCCCTCCGAGGACCTGAACATCAACGTGATCGACCTCATGGTCATCCTCACGGATTTCCAACGGTCCAAAACATCAAAATCCACCACGAAAACCACTGTCAGCTTGAGCAGCCGAGGGGTCAGTAACTGAAAACTTTCAGAAGGTCCACAATTCCTTCAGTTCCGGATGATAGATTTTTTCTCATCCTTCAGCCATTCTGTAACTGCAAACTGCTGTATTTAAAGCTCTCAGCAACTATCTGTCCATTCTCTCTGGTGATGACCAGTCACCCACCGCTGATCTGCAGTTAGATATGAATTCATTGTATTTAATGAATTCTGGGATTTGATTTGATCTACTGGTGATGACCAAGCTTCAGATCTCTCGAGACAGGAGCATCGAAAGTTCTTGGAGTTTATTCCCACTCTTAGAGTTCCAGATGTTCAAGTCGTTATTCCTAAACCTTCGTGGTTACTGTATGAGCATTCAATTGTTTCGTTGTGTCATTTTTTTATAGTGTATATATTTACTACTTTATTTACTATGAAGTATTTATCTAAAAAAATTCATTAAAATTTTACAAATAGATCAAAATACTCCATCGAAACTGTACACAATCAAAGCCTAACGAGTGATCACTACATAACATCATCTAGAATATTAATTTTGTAAATACAATACACTATGTTGATCAATACATTATCTAACCTAAAATACTTGAATCAGATGTGAGAAGAAGATATCCCTTCGAGCAGTAGACAAGAGTTGCGACGATGAGACCATCTCCAACAGCAGATAGGTGCACCGTGTGCATGCAGGGTAGAAATTGTTTTTGGAGACGAATGCACCAGCAGTTGAGGTTGACAGAGCTGAAAGTTCCAGCCCGACTAACAAGATCTTCATTGCAGAGGATTGCATGAAAATAGTCGAAATAACAGAACAAAATTTTTTAGTCATAAGGGGCAACAAGTGGCAGGAAAATGAACATTGTTATTACAACTCTGGAGTTTTATAGATTTACATATAAAGGTTTTGATAAATTCGTTCCGGATATGCCAGAGGTTATCAGATAATTTGAATTCATTATTCTACATGAAATTACTATTATACGGAAATGAATATAATTAAAATTGATAAATCAAATTTTGTGTTATTTTTGATCTTATTTTAATAATTTTAAATTCAATATAAAACAAATTTATCGTCAAAAATAGTGCTGGAGATTGCCTTTAGTTTCTATATTTTTTATCCATCTGTAAATCGTTTCCAACCACAGTTATCTACTTCATATTATATTTATTATCAAAGGCGAGACCATGTGAATCATTTACTTTAAACTCTTCCAAAGATGTGTAATAGTGATACACATGTTAGAAAGTGTATCAATATGTGTAATACAGACTTCAACATATTTCACCCGTCAAAGCCTTGTATTCACTCCAAACTATTCCTCGCAGATGACATCACTCACAAAGCGGTTCTCGACATGGCAACTGTTATTGAAACAAAGTCGTGAATTCAAATTTCTAGAAGCTGTCGAACATTCGAAGGACTTGCCTGTGGCGCGTTTGAAGCGGCCCGAAAATATGAGCAAATCAACGAGATGGAAATGAAGCTTCCAAAACCGGGACAGGTGAACGGCGGCGAATTCTTAATGCAAAGCTCAGAGGAACTGAATCCCATGACGACTTCACGTGTTTTATAGAATCGGGAACTCGTGCTCGTGGTTTCTGATCGAGGTGTACTACAAAGTCGCTGTTGTCACAACGTGGGCATTGGAGTCCATGCTACAAGTCAGACTCTGGAACGAGACAATACTCGAGACTTGCAGTTAATCTTCGAGCATTGTTGAAATGTAGGTAGTAACAAATTCTACGGCAATAATGTTGTGTCAGTTGTGAAAGAGTTTGATTAATGTTTCAATAAAGATACTCTTTCATGTGAAGAATGTTGTAAATACGGTCACAAAAGCATGACCCTTTTGGAAAATTTGGCAGCGAACATTTTTTTACTCAAGAGCTTTCTGCAGAGAATACATGTACCACAGCCATTCCACGTGCATCAGATTCATGATGAAGGACACAGAATATGAATTCTCATGATTGATCGTGATCGATCGTTTTTGCCACACACAGAGAGGAGCACCTCTACATGAGCTTCAACGTTGGTGTCACTGATTGCTGATGGTACAATCGTTCACCAGGAAGTACGAATAAAAACTTTGACAACGAACATGATATGCATGACTTCAATGAGCATGCACAAGACGCTGCACCCGGCGAGTCTTCGGTAATTGAGATTGTTTGGTCCACTTCGAAGATTCCCCTCGATGAGCGGCGTGTTCATTTCCACCAATAATTTCCAAATGGTCTTTATGTTCCCACCTAAAATTTATTGGGGCCGATGGACCCAGAGCCATCCTTGCGATAATTAGACGAATGTGTGCTTCTTACTTCGGAGTTCAATATATATATATATATATATATATATATATAATTCACATGACAGAGTATTTTCCGTGTTTTCATAGAAAGAAAAATTTCGAAGACCAAATACGGAAAGAGAAAATTTTCATTTTAAACAATATTCACATGAAAGAGTATTTGATCCTTATTACCTTCTATTTTTCAGGTACTGTACTCGAGTCTCGGAACAGCAAGGAAGGACGGCAAGGAAGATGAAGACCAACACAGTACTACATATTTAGTCACTGCTTGGTTCCATATCATTTCCAGCATGTACAGCCGATTTCACATATCTCATATATGTAGCGTGATGTTTGCATTTCCTTCATATATTGTTAGATGAATATATTTAATTATCAATCGCGAGATGTCAGCAGTCTTAGCACTGATCTTCGACTGGTTTATGTCTAATCTACGTCACATGCCAAGCATGTGACGACGCAAACACCTGATCTGGACGCCGTGCATGAAGGAATCACGATACAATTGCTGATAACGATGATTCTGGCCGAAATGGGCGACAGCGCGGTGACTGTATCGAACAGATTCTCGATCGGTCGATCGGTAGATCATAACATACGCATTCCTGCTCGCTGACAGTTCAGCAGCGTCTCAGTCACCACCGACGAGGAAGCGATGGGCCGGGAAGAGATCAGCAAGAGTGAGAGCCAGGAGAGAGTGCTCTTGCGCAGTCCATCACGCCACGACGACGGTTCGTCGAAACTCGAGGGTCCTGGAAGAGACCAAAAGCTTGAGTGCTCGCTCGGTCCGACGGATGCTGGGAGTGTCCGCCGTGGTCTCGCGGTGGCCCGGCAGCTCTCGATGCTCCTGCTCGAGGTGACCAGGGGGAGGAGGAGGGACTCCGACATCTCGAATCCGCGACAGAGTTGCAATTCGTTCGTTAGGAGGCTTTTCGCTTTCTCTTTCGCGTTCGCGTTCGTGCTTGAGGGCTCGAGCTGTGCTGGGCTTTAGCACGACGTCGGCCTCGCGGGAGGAGGCGAGACCGGACGCCAGAACGATGCCCCTGTCGAGTCGCGCGACGGAGAACGGCGACGGGCCACAGAACGCCGCGGGTCGTCTTGACGAGCGGGAGAGCGTCGCGTTGAGGAGAGCGGTGTTGTCGTCCAGGGGAAGAGTGAGTCGCGCGATTAAGAGCTCCAAAGGGAAGGCCGTCGCGTACGCGGACAACGTGGTTCCCGCCGAGCTCCGTCGTCTTCTCGAGCGCGAGCTCGACGTCATGGCGGAGCGACCCGACGCGGACTTCCAGCCGGGGTCGCAAGGCAGGGTACAAAACCTCATCAATCCCTCGATGTATCCCTACATTCGTGGTACGAGCCACCTCCGCGACCGGGGCGCCGGCTTCGAGGTCGCGAGCCCGGACTCCCCAGCCCCAGGCTCGTCGTGGACTTACCAGTGCCTGCCGTCGCAGATCTTCGTGGACGCTGAGGGCGACGCGACAATCCGGTCGTACGTGAACAACGTCGACCGGGAGTCGACCGGAGACCTGTACAATACCATGGAGCTCTTGTTCGCCCTCTTCGTGCCGATGTTCGAAAGCGTTCTGAAGAAGAAACTGCGTTCCCGGGAGTTGCAGGTCATCGTCAAAGCCGTCAACTACGTGATCCAACCCGAGGGCAGATCGTACGAAGGAGGCTGGCACATGGAAGGCATGGAGCACGAGCACATCGTCGCGGCCGGGATGTACTACTACTCCACCTCGCCGTGCCTGCAGGACGTCGGGTTGAAATTTCGGCCAATGTCCTCGCCGCCGCCGACGACGACGACGACCGCCAACTCCGATCGCCTCCGCCTACTGGTCGAGACGGTGGAGGTCATGCGAATGCTGCGAACTTCCACCAGAGAGATTCGCCGGTACGTGAGGAGCAGGCCGGCGCGGCAACCGACTCCCGGCGACGAGATCATGCGATTCGACGGAGTGGACGCCCGGCGGATGCGCTACCAGCCCGCCGACGCGAGGGCGCCCGGCGAGTTCGTGATCCCGACGAGGGAAAATCGGCTGCTGGTGTTCGCGAACGAGATCCGGCACAAGGTCGGCTCGCTCGTCAACACCGGCGCCAGCACCGGCGTCCGCAAGACGTTCATGTTCTTCCTCGTCGACCCCGGCGCGACCATCGTGTCGACGCGCGACGTCCCCGCGCAGCAGTGGGAACGCGTGCGCCTGCGCCAGGCGGCCGCTCTCCGCGCGGCCAGCGGCTTACCGGACGAGATTCTGAGCAACATCGTCGCCCGTGCCAAGAGCGGCTTCACGTCGGCCGAGGCCCGCGCCCACCGTCTGCGCTTTCTGCGGGAGCGGATGGTCTTCGTGGACGACGACAGCGCCGACGACGACGACGGCGCTCTCGACGGTTGACACAGCGTCCCCTGATTTGACGACAATCTCACCTCTTGTACAGAGGAATCGATCGATACCAAATGTACAGATTTGTAAAGAAGCGGGCTACGATTCGTGCCGAGCTCATCATTCACGAGAAGCTCTTCGAAGCATTCGATATCTGAGCAGCTCCCGGATTTTTTCGCATGCTTGGGCTGGGACAGATCATTTTCTTCGTCGTTCAGTGAGCGCAACGAACGCAATGAACGGCCAGTCTCATTCTACATTGTTCACTCGAGTGCCCTGGCCGGAATGTTGTTCGAGTTTCGCGAAAGTAATGTATCGTAGTTTTATGTCATTAGAAGAACGATCTTGACCCTGCGCCTGCTTCGGCTTCTTCCTGTGCGACAGCTCGATGGGGGGAGTTCGAAAGGAACTCTGCAGATCAGACAGATCGTCGCTAATCGAAGACTATCTAAATTCTCCAGCAGGCATTTCGCGGTTGTTTCAGCTCTCAGCCAGCAGGCTCTGATTTGCCGACCATCCATCACTCGACTTGCTCCACTCCGAGGGCCCCCTTGACGGGACCACGGTTTTTCTCCAGGGGTCGCTTGTGCGAGTCGCTATGTGTACTCGTAATCACAATCGCCTTCATTTCCCGGTCGTATGCTCCGAGAAATTTTACTCGCCAAGTACTTGTACATGTGGAGGTGACATCATCCACACCGGCAACTCCCTACCGACAAATAGACATGGGACTACCGCCACTTGTCGAGTGGAGAAACTTCTGTTGAAGTGGATGATATAATCATCTATGGAAGAGTCTGTGGGTACATACCTCGGGGAATTAGGAGTTATTTTCCTATTCTTGCACGAATAAAAGCTCTTCTCGTGAATGAACATCAGTCGAGTCACATATCAAGTACGAGACCTCCGTGAAAGAACAAAGGATCGTGGCATCCGATGATGCGAGAGACTGAAATTCGTGCTCGCGGATGGCAGAGTTATGTCTGGCTGCCTCTCGCCGAGAAGTTCTGAGAACCCAGAGAGTCTGTAGTTTCGACCAGATGCCGCAAAAGTGTCACGCTCCTGTCGATCGAGGTCAACTGTAAGTATCTTCTCTGGAGAATAGTAGAATCTGAGCATGTACAGTACATGTACCCGAGTACTGCTCGAAGATCACGAGTCTCGTTTAGTGTAGTAGAAGCTGCAGCTGTCACCTCACGGATCCTTTGAGGCGGACTTCAAGTCTCGAGTATTTGAACTCTGCGTTTGATCCTGATCAAATCTAGAAGTCCAGACTGCTGGAATCCAGGATCTGAGAGTCTCGACGGACGTGTACCCGGTCCAGCTCTTCGATCCCATTGACTGCTGCTGCTTCTGCTGCTGGTCGGGGGTGTCTCGCCTTCTGGTGCCCATCGTTCTACCGAGGAATCCCCAACTGGCAAGCATCCAGCCAAACACTCACTGTCTGAAGTCGACTGGCATGTCTCTTGCGACGCTGCCGTGGGCATATATTGACAGACGAGTGCCGCTCGATCCGACGGAAGTGACGAGAGAACAAAGCTCCTTCCATAATTCTCGTGGAAACTCCCCTTCTTACGGCTCGAATGGCCATGTACAGTACTACTGCTGCTGCTGCTGCTGCTGCCCGATGTGGTATCATTACTGACGTGACCGACTACTCCGTTGTAATGACATCGGTTCCAAAGATCAACGTGAAAATTGTCTGGGCATGCTGACAACAGCAGCAGCACCAGCAAGAGGCCGCCTAGCACGTGAACCATGGTGCCTGTGGCCTTCTTGTCTTCATCTACGCTCATAAAACGCAATACTTGTAAGAGAGGAGGTCTTGTAAATCAGAGTTGTGAAGGGAGATTGGATTCTGACTAAAATCAGTCGTGATCCTTCGATCACGACCTGAAGAACTAGATCGTATAGGAATGAAATAATGCGATGGAGGTGAGTACATCTGAAAGTTCTTAACTTTCGTTGTGGTCTTCTGCATTTGCAGAAGAGCCTTCGGCGACTGTAGTGTTGTAAATTGCGAACGATCAGGTATCAAATTTGGGTCAGATGATTTTTAATTACCACTTCTCGAGGGGTTTTTTGTGCTCGGGTTTCCAGCTATATTCGATGAAAGATTCCATGCTTGCACGAACACCTGATGCGGATTGCATACGTTCTTATAGTTTCCTCTTTTCGATCATGCGGCTTCTAAATCTTCCCTTCCATATTCAATCATGTTTTAAGAAAAGAATGAAAAATAATATCTGCGTTTCCATTCTTCCGATGGTCTAAAGATATCTTCCATTCTGATACCATATGTTGATTTCCGCAAATTAATGAATGAATATCCCAAAGCGTGTAGTGCAATGTTATTCAATGCACGCAAACTCAGCTCGTTACAACGTGGAACCTCGAATACTTGGATGATAGACACATAACCATATTTCTATTTGTCTCGGGATTGATCTTAGTTCGCTATCCAACATTGACTACTTATTTATACTGTTTTGAATATTGCATGCAAGTTAAGGTAAGGACTTATGACTTTATGTTTTTGCTGGATTAACAAGGTATTTATTAGTAATATTTATATATTTGGACCTGAAGAAGTGGATCACGGTGAACGAAGTCTGAAACCAAGGTGAATGCATCTAGAAAGTTTTCATAGTTGATACAGAATTATAACTATCTCTTTCCATGCGCATCCGCTGATCAAAGATTTGAGAAAAAGCCCAATACAATTAAGCAATACACACAATCTCAAGTGACCCGATACAAAAATGGTTCGTCTATCACACACAATTGTTACTCTATAAGTTTAAAATATATCACGAAATGGTCGTGAGCATGCTCTTGTATTGATGAGACAAGGTGCACCGATCTTGCTAGACTAAATGCAGACATGATTCGCGTGTGGAATATTTGAAGAGGAATCAGGGCCCAACACAAAACTGAGAAGTATCATTCATTGCATATATACTTCCAGTAAAAAGCAAGTCTTCACCCTTGCAAAAATATAAATCTCTCGTAATTCATCTAATTCACTCGGGACTATGAATATTGGTAATATAACACTGGGATTTTCACATGAAAACTTGGAACTCCAACTTGGTACCAGTTTTTAATGTTGTAGTTTTTAACGTCAATGCATAATATAATTAGTACTTATAAATATACAACCAAAGCAATATTTTGGCTTGGTGAACATTCATCCATACAACATCAAACACACATTTGGCATATTCTTCATTCAAAGCGATCGGGATGTTACAAGAAACACAATCAATTCAATTATCTTTCGTTAAGGATGCTTAGATGTTCTTTATGGAATAATTGGTAATGATTCCAATTATTGTAAATTTAATTAGAAAGTTGTCAGAGAAATAATGCAGTTCATCATATCGGACTATGCACACAAGAACAAATCAAATTTTATTGAGAAAATTGAGTTTATATCACGGATAGCTTCAATGAATTTTCTTATAAAGAATGAAAAGTTTAACTAACCCAAGTTAAATCAATCAGACTTAACCAAGATCAGAGATAACTCCTACCAGTAATTCAAAATATGTAAATTTTAAAAACAATCATTATATTCAGAAAAAAAAATTAAGTGTAAAAAAATATGAATATTTTAGCAGTACATGTTCAATATCATATGTTGATTTTCAAATCTTGTATTGGTTTAAGGCAAATTTTAGTTTTTCATCATTCTTGTCAGCAATAACCTAAGGGAAAAATATTCAATCAACAGCATTAAAAAAATATATATTTACATTAGGAACATAAAATTTCAGATTGAATATATATTTTTCAAAATTTTCTCAAAATTTTATTAAAAATTTTTGTATTATTAATTATTAAAAACTTGTGTCAAATGACCTCAAATACTAAAAAATATTCACTTTAGCATCATTTGTGACTTCAGTTTTTGTTTGTAATTATTTTTTTCTCTTCTTTTTTTAAATAATTTAAAAAAAAATATAAAATTTAATAGAAAAAACACCAGTTTTATGATTGAAAAAATTATATGCTAATTTAAAGAATTCATACATTTATATATAATCACCTATATTATCAATACATGAAACTATTTCATGAATAAATGTACACAGATTACAATGCAAGTAGATGCAAGGCATTAACTGTAATTTTATTTTTAAAATTATATTGATATATATTTATTCAGTTTTTACTAGTAAAAAATACAAAATTAAGATAAATGTATAACTCATGATATTGGTATGTGTTAAATTAAACTATGTGAAATATACACTTGTTCAAAATTCCAACCTATAATATGCATTGCTTGAATTAGAAGCATAAATGAGCAAGTTAATTTATATTATATATAAAAAAATTGGTTAAAAAATTCTGAAAGGGAAAGCTTTCTAACCTTCTAAGGAGATAAAATATCATGAAATATCTCTACAATAGTATCAAATATAATTAAACCATGCATCTATACAAATCAATCAAACCAAAGTTTCATTTAAAAGTATTCATGTCAACTGACCAACTGGTTTGACAAATCAGATCATATTTGGAGAATTTAGGGGTCTTACATTTAAATAAGAGTCACAAAATATTAAGCACAATATCTGCGATAAATTAATTTTTACTTGATATTAACTCATGTGTTCATAATAATAAAAATATCTAAACTATAATAAATATAGGAGATTACAGTTACGCTACAAACTTTCGATTTTGCAGGCTGAATGTCCAAATCTTGATATGTAAGCCGTTTGGAAATCATTTTCTAGAAAAATATGGTCTTATAAGTAAATAACTGTCAGTTTGATATTATCCGGGCTATCTACAGTTACCATTGGATTATAAGCAGATTTTTGCTATCTCCCATGTTTTTTTGAGTTCTTTGAAAGAACAAATGAACAAATGTAACAATATTACTCTTGGACGGGTACGGAGGGGGCGACTGCGGAGGCGAACCACGTAGCGCAGGCGAGCGCAGTTCAGAGCAGGGCAGTAGGGTTTGGTTGCTTGAGCTGCAGGGCGGGCCATTCGCTCCGGTGCTCCGTTCTTCCCGATTTCTGCCCCGACCCTCTTCGTCTTCTTCTTCTGATCGATCGATCGATCGCGCTCGCGCTTCGTCTTTCAAATCGTGCCAGGGTTCATCGGAGGGTCCAAATTTTCGATCATGGTGAGTTTTTTCCTCGTCTTCTTCATGGTGTTTTTTTCGATTCGAATTTCGTGACCTGATACCTCGAGAGATGAAAGCTCGCAAATGGACTCAGTTTCTCACCTGGTCATCCGATCCTTCGGCTCGAGGCATTCTTGTTTGGCTCTCGTCGATTGGTTTCGAAGGGAACTTGGAAGTGATCGGAAGGTTCTCTTCCTGCCTCGATTCTATGGCGCGTCGCATTGTTCAAGCTTGCTTGATGACTTCACGCATCGTCTCAACGTGAATTTCTGTGGCTCTGATTGTAGACTGGGAAGCAGCCGTATGTCGGGCAGGGACTCGAAGCTCCTCACGCCTTCACCCTTATGCCTGGTCCTACCAAGCATACACAGTACGTCCCTTTATACACGATCTGAAGTGCCTGCTGAAAGTTGTTTTACCTTTGTTGAAGAGCTGAAGTGATCCTGTCGGTACCGATGTGAAATTCAGGTGTCAATGTTTGTGGACCTAAATTCAAGAATTGAAATGCGATGTTCGTTTTGTATGATCTCTGTAAATACTTCGACTCCCCATTTTGTACTCGGATGACCTAGTTCACAGTTCACAGTTACAGTTGGAGTGGGTTAGAGAAATTTGCAAGTGGTCATTTTTTTTAGGACTGTCTACGAGCTTTCTGCCGTGCGCAACCCGTAGAACAGACACCTGCTATTTTTATTTTTCTTTATCGTCTCTTGAAGCTGTTACACGCGTCTCTACTAGGACATGAGACCTACCTTTGTCTGATGGTTCTGATCACACGATAATTACATGTTTTAATTCATGGTAAATGATCAAACATCACTTCATTTTCCCATTCTTGGTTTGGACATATTCTCTATTCCTCTCTTTAAGTACGTGTGAAAGTTTTGCGTATCGTGTACAAAAAATGCCTCATCTTGCCCACCTGCCAAAGTTATCCATCAATCAGCCTTTGTATGTTCATTTAGTCTGTGCTGTTCTTTGGTGCATGCCTACAGCTCTTACCTTTCTGCCTGAGCGAAAATTAGGAGATGAGAACAGAGGAAGGCCCGGGTGCGTTTGTCCTATAGGCAATTGTGAAGCCAAATGTTATTCGTCTTAATTTGTGCTTATTTAGTGATCTTGATGATTTGCAGATACCCTTACGTCACAGGAACTTCAGTGTTAGGAATCAAGTACAAGGATGGTGTCCTCATTGCTGCTGATACAGCAGGTCCTTATCTGACCTCTATCTTTTAATGTCCAACAAGATTGCCACGTTGCTTTCGTGCTTCCAAAGTGGTGTGGTTACTAAGATGAGTCTTTGTCAACAGCTTCATACGGCTCTACTGTCAGGTACAAGAGCGTGGAGCGCTTGAAGGCTTGTGGAAAGCATTGCCTGATCGGTGCAAGTGGGGAGATCAGTGACTTCCAGCAAATTCTTCAATATGTTGATAAGTTAATGTAAGCCTGAATCATATATTAATCTCTACATATGTTGAATGACATGATCCAACTACTGCAATGTTTGTGGAAGGAATATCTGGTAGAAGGGCAGTTGGAAATCAAATCGTTGTCGAAACCTTAGGACCGTCTTCTGAAAATCTTCTGAATTTACGTAGGTCTTTCTTCAGTCATGACTAGCTCTCCGTGAGGTCTGAAGTATGAAGGAGATGCTCGAGTTAGCGAGCAAATTTAGGATGGTATTTTGTGACCTTGATTTCATCTTACAATGTTCTTCCCCTGTCCAGTTTGAATGATTACATGTGGGACGACGGAAACAACTTGAGCCCCAAGGACATCCACAATTACCTGACGCGAATTATGTACAATAAGCGAAACAACTTCGATCCACTCTGGAACACTCTTGTCCTTGGGGGAGTGAAGAATGGGGAAAAGTATCTTGGAGTGGTGAGTTCCTCAACAAAGCAGCTGTTATTCTTGAAGCATTTGTCCATCGCATCAACGAGGCCGGTGGAATTATGTTTACCTGGATCTCAATCTTTTTTCTATTTTCACAGGTCACCATGATAGGAGTACAATACGTGGACAACCACGTCGCCTCCGGGTTTGGAAACCACCTGGCCCGCCCTATCTTTCGAGATGAATGGCATGAAAATTTGACACTAGAGGAAGGTATCCAATTGCTCGAGAAGGCACTGACAGTACTGTTCTACCGAGATCGAAGCGCAATCAACAAAGTCCAGGTTTGTGAATCATCCTTTTCAAGTGGAAAGGCTGTCTTAGAGAGGTCTGGATGGGCAGAAGCAATAGAAACTCCAGATTCCGTCAGCTTGAAGTGGAGAACCTTGTTATCTTCTAAGTTTCCATGGCCTTGTGAACTAGTGCAGAGTTTGGGCGTTAGCAGATGAGTGTCAGTTTTATGAACGGCTTGCATTTGTTTGTTGGGCAGGTTGCGAACATTACCGAGGCAGGCATCAACATCTCGGAGCCGTACGCATTGAAAACAAATTGGGATTATAACGCGTTCAAGAACCCGACCGTCGGAGCTGAAGGATCTTGGTGATCACGCGCACATAGGTCTTGTTAGTTATTGTGGAATACATTCGGTAACCGAGTTGGTACAAGAAGTTGGTTAGTCAGAGCAAGTCGAGAGTCACTGCGGAAGGATTACTTGGCTTCTCTCATGGGGCTTATTTCATTGCTCCGTGAAGGACACTTCAGTGACGTCACGACCAGTCTTGAGGACATATGTAAAGCTTTTTCACTTAGTTTGTCTTTTTCCCGTCAACTCAAGACGTGGCTGATGTCTGGACTGATATCTGAGCTTCTCGACACTTCCACAATTCTGCATACGTGGGACTAAATTGTTAGTAGAGATAGTAGCTAGGACTCAATTGGATGTATTTATTAAAACCATGGCAACCGCTGATTCACTTTTGCAATGATCGGATCAACTCCTAGGGATCAGCATAGTTTATGTTCTATGTTGAGAATCATGTTGGTGTCTGAACTGCAAATTTGATACTGGCAATTGTCAACATCTTGTCATGATATCTGAAGATGTTGTCCTTGAGAAGACTCGATGCTTTTGCTGTCGCTGTGCTCTTGCTTGCTATGAATTAAATCGTTTCCGTCGCTGCTGCAAGAGACGGAAACAAGAGGTATATACAGGCAGGGTTATTTTAGCTGACCGTATATCGAGGTGCCTAAATTACTTAATTGACGCTCCCTTTAGCGCCGAAATTAATCTAGGCTGTGATTGTCTCAGCATTGAAGCGCGGGAGATCTCAGCCAATAAGGTGTGATGACTTTTAATCAATTCGTAACCACGTCAGTCTCTTAACTCACCCGTTCAGAATCCGTAGTTCGGAAAATTTCTCTCAGCCACGAGACTCACAACCGAACTGTAAACCCATTCACAGTCGAACTGCAACCCCTCATCCTCTGATGTGCACTCAAGGTGATTTATATTTAGGTGATTTAGGGCGACCGAGTAATATAACCATGCCTGGGTACATACATACGCGAACATACTTGTAACTACTTGTAGTTTCACTCCGAAGTTTATTTAGTTTCCGAACAAATCCTCTTGGACGAGTGTTCTCGAACGCGTCACGATCATGTTCGGATTTTGAAACTTACAAGAACATTCAGTCACACGAGTTTCTTATCTTGCTTTCTTCGAAGTACATATTCACGATCCATCACTTCCACACATGCAAGGAGATTCCTGGCCATGCACAATTCACAAGCAGCGTGCAGAGCTGGAGTCTCTGTTGTTAATATAGCAATACGTGTTGTAGCACAGCATGTTGGTGTCGAGATACTCAATTCCCGGTGTCTTGAAGAAACCCAATAGGATTCAAAGCATGACGACGGAGGTAAAGAGCAGTAACCCGATTTCAATCGACTATAATTGAGAGATGCAGGCGATTCTTCTATATTGAAGTATCGCCATGTTCCAAAATTTGTGCAAAGCGGAGAAGAAACATGACGCGCTTTATGCTGTTGGGAGGTTACAAATTCTCTCATCTTTGTACTCCCTAAAACCAGTCAGAAGGACTCATTACACTCACAACAACCCGAAGAAGCATTTATCGGTAACGAAGAGTCCGACTCCAAAGAGGTTCCTTGGTAGCAAACCAGACTCAAGAAAACAGAGAAGAGAATCACAGTAACTCGAGGAAGTACATTCCCCTTTGTATTAAAAGTGCAGTTCTCCTTCAGTAGGAAGAGTATTGAAACGTAACATCATCTGCAAGAGCTATCAGAATACGATCCATTCTATCTCCCTACTCACTACCAACATACTAAACATTCTTCATCAAAACAAACACTAACTCTGTCGACTTGAGGACACTCCAGACAACCAGATTATTCTGACGGTACTCTGGCTCCTGTTCCTCCCGGCCTGCGCAGATAACACTGAGAAGTGAACTTGAACGACAAAACCAAAAAAAAGGATTAAAGTTAACGACGGTTCAGAAAGTTCCGAGAGTTCCGAGGTGGAGGGTCCTTACACTTTTGTGAGTATTGAGAGGTCTACCACGTAGCGATGAAGACAGACAAACGTAGAAACAGGCCCAGATGAAAGTATACTTTGTGACGGTCCCTTGATTTCTTCCGAGGTGTACTGAAAGGTGATGTTTGGAGTGGAAAACATTAGAGAGCTTAGCCTAGACACAAACGCATACAAGAACGATTGGCATCACGAACTGCAAGTCGCCGCGTGCACTTACTTCAAATCTCCTCTCGTAAAGAGACGTAATTTGAAACAAGGCAAATTCAGAAAATTTGCAAGGTGATTTTTGAACTAAAATCACGCGGCGACACGCGGTTAGTTATGTTTCATCGATCCTGCATTCACTTGTAACTAGTCTTAGCTCCCTAACACTTTCCAAATTTAGAGTTCGAAGGTCAACAGAGTGCCTAACTGGAGATCACTACTCCGTGTTTCTTCCTGCACGAGACATGAGAAGATACAAAGTGAGCACGGCAGGATGCAGAAACTGCCATATTCTTCACAAACAGAAGTGAAGGTTTTGAGCTCATCTCTTGGTCGATATCTTTCCGTGGAACATGAAATATTCGCTCCCATGTCATGAAACGAGGAATTGAGGGAATTAAAGATATTGACAGAGGAGCCTACTTTGCGCAAAAAAGAGTAATGAGAACTAGAAGACGGAGGATAGCAAGAATAATAGCTGGGCAGATTCTAGTGCAACGAATGCTGAACTCTTGCTGAACTCATATATTTACTAGCAGAAATGCTGAAGTTGCGGGAGGAAGTCTGCAAGAAGTTGAAGACCACCTGTCCTTGCAGCTAATTGTGCAGAGTATCTAGATTACAAAGAGAAGTATGCAAGGACAGTTGCAGAGGATAGCTACTGCTGTAGACCTGACCTCGATCGAAAGGGTACTGTTTTCTAGCGCATTGGTCCCCTTATTTATAGCTGGCAGAGACAAGACGAGATCATCATTAGAGGAGCATACGCTGGACGTCCGAAGGTTCTCATCTGAGATCATGATACCCACGCAATATCATGATACGATGCTACGAAACTTCACGTGCCGTTTGATTTCGAAGAAATCAGAACAGTGAGAAGATGCAAGCCTGTTATGTACAACTGGCTATCACTCGGTAACAAACAAGTAATGAGTGGTCTTCAGCCTCGTCTGTACTCGAACATGAAACCCAGCGAGAGATTGAACAGAAGGATGTGCTCGGAAACTACTGAGGTGATCATGATCCGACCCTGGAGATGAACTTTGTTAGACATATGATGATGAAAAATGGCATAACAGAATGTCGTTCAATCCACTGGTTGATGTGCACCTTCGGACTCGATGAACATAAAGAAGACAAGAAAAGGCCATCTTTCAGATCAGCGTCTTTCCTGTCAAGCTTTCACATTTGTCACTATACATTTCAACTTGGACCACAATTGTGGAGGTGATATTGTTTAGAAAGACTCAAACTATGGAATAATATATGAATGTAGTCCAAACGATGTCCGTAGTCACAGCGGCTCCTCCCGATCCAACTCAATCCTTGGCTTCACAGCAGACGATTTAACGAAACATTCCACCTACAATCTTGAGCAAGATGTTCGGCTCATTTCCTGCAGGGAGGATGCTGGATTCGCTATGCGTCTCATCTTTTGCAAACCGATCGAGTTCATAGCTTTGCTCATTCTTCCGCCGTCCGAGTCCGTCCTTCAATTGACGGAGGCTGGACGCTGTCTCTGTAATAATTCCTCGTTTCGAGCTTCTTCCGAAAATAAACGCTTCCTCCACGTTTATAAATGCTCCAGAAGTTTTGGACAGCACCTCCCAGTCGCTTTCCTTCCTTCACTCTTGGAAGTAACATATTAAATTTGGTCGAACAAATGTTCATCTCCATGAAAGCCAAAGCTCTTCGTCATCATTGTTTTGGCGTATCCAGGAGCCTGAGAATGGTGGGAACTTCGTGTTTCACGTATGGGCCAATTGAATCTTCTCTGGACGATTTATAAATTACGCTTCGTCTGTTCCTCTTGGTCTTGTGGAAGGACAGGGGTTTTAGTCTGTTGGGATTCAACACAACCGTCAGCGCACGAAACACTTTCATTCGCTTGAAGCCCACAAGGTCGGACTCTGTTTCCATTACTGGCCCTCGCACGTCTCATCGCGGAAACGTCCTCTCGCTGACTCTGCTCGTCGAACGCAACCCGCCATGCACAGTGTCATGCGACCTGATCGCTGCAAAACCTTTCCTTTTTCCTTTCACTTCGTTTTATGTTCATGACACTGACTTTCATTTCTGCTTCCTGAATGCAAACTTTTCTGTGTGCATCGCCTTTTGAAACAAACAGACACACACAATTTCAATTCCTTACAATTCCTGTCACCGGAGCAGTGAGAAGTCACCGTACTGACATTGCAGACTCGTGAATTCGCCGGAAACAGTACCGCTACCTGGAGTATTCTGTAAACAGCTTCTATGGTGGTTCTCGTCGCACGTTGTCGGCTGAAAAACGACCCATCCCTAGACGACACGTATCGTACAATTACTGTCATCTACGGGGGATACAAAAATTTAGCTTGGAAGCTCAATTTTGGAGCATGCGGTGAGCTGGTATGTTGGAGCACGCCATGCACAAGTCTTCATGGGTGTCAGCGAAGAAAGTAATCACTAAAAGGCGCACAATTTCGAGGACCTTCATAAAACGAACCCCTTGAAAACTTGAACAATCTGGAGCCAGCTTTCATATTTCCATATGAAAGCTATTTACAAAAACATCATCCAGCGTTCAGAAAGATTTGACGAGTATGCTCATGCAAATTAGTGTGCAACTCAATTTCAATCGTCGTCGAAAAGATTTGAAGCTGGTGCCTTCGGCGGTGGATGGGCAAAATATTCACTGTCCTACTACCTAAACATGTCGGCCGCCTTTGACCAGAAAAATCATCAATCTTCGCTCTCTGCATCAGATGCCCTCCACAAAAATTACTCGAGACACCTTACCAGCATTTAGCTCTTCCATTACTAGCAAAAATTCTAGAGTTAGCAACGTAATCAGCAATTCCAAGTCTAGTACAATATCTCGGAAGTTTCGAAAGCTTCAGCACGATGAGTAGGTAGCTCCTCAGATGTCACCAGTTATCGAAGCCGATAGAACGGCATTAGCCAGCGTGTCGATGTCATGAGGAAAGAAAACCCTGAAAAAAAACATAAGCCCAGAAGTGTTATCCATTCTAGCTAAAAATCTCCTCGAAAATTCGTACAACGATGACCTGACATAATTCATCCACATATATGATCATGCCTTAAGGACCTTCTTGAATAAAGGGAAGGATCTTTCTCCTTACTTGCAAGTATTCTCGTAGAAAATTCTCGAGAGCTTGTACTGATCCTTCTCGCCCAGAACTGAAGCAACTACCTCAAGTACTTGTCTGTGTTGTCGGACAAAACACAAACTTAGCTGACAAGACATCTTGTTGTTCGCAAGCTCTCTACATAATCTGCAAAGCAGTAAAGCAAGTAGCCGGTTACCACAATTGAAAATTATCCACTTCCGGCATACCTCACTTGACAGGGCTCGTTTCGATCTTTCACCAAATAATTCTCGTCATACTTCTCTTTCTTCTTCGAAGGCCAGGTTGTCTGAACGAGTTTGCTGCTTGCGTGGCTTGACTTGATTCCACAGTATGGGGAGTCTGTTTCTATCATAAGTCTTTCCAAAGGCATGCTCTTCAAGACATCCAAATTCTCTGAGGTTTTCAATGAACAGCCATTCACACCTGGCAACCACGACATGCAAGAAGACTGTTAAGTACCACAATAGAGATAAGACCTTGCCTGGTCCGAAATTGTCACTGGAAGATAAAACAGCATTCACACTTACGTACTCGAATTCTTCGCTCGTTACAACATTCACGGCGAGTCATATTTTCACCACTAATCCTGTCTTGAGAAGAGTTAAGGTAGACGAATGTAAGACTTACCAATGTATAAGTTTGAAAAGGCCAACATTCGTTCCAATTCGTCACTCGTCCCTGTAAACGAGTGCACGCAACCTGCACGAAACCTGTCTGGCACGAGAAAGAAAATTCAGAGGATCTAACACGTATGTTTCTGTAACATTATTTTGCTAATTTTGTCCACGTCATTGGGTTCCATAGCTATCTGGGACTAGATATCCAAATGCTGTTTGAGTCTTCTGAGAAAGAGAGAAGAGTACTGAAAGCTATGAGCTGAAAAATGTATCCTCCTTTACCTGGTTCTGTTCCTCTCTACAATGGTGCTGAAGTCTTCTGCAGCTGCTCGCATGTGTAAGAACATTGGAAGACCAGTTGCTTCTGCTAGATCAAATTGTTTCTCAAAGTATCTGCAAAACCAGGGGCATGTCGAATCATTTAACTGACCTTGTGCGTGTTATTTTGCTCTAGGCTACAGGCGATAACGAAATGTAACTAACTCTGCTCAACCAAAAGACTAAACCATCAAAGTCTGGTCCATATGGCAAGGACTTGTCCACACCTATCAAGATTAAACCACATACAAGATCATCCTATAAGCTCTTTGCTAATAAAAATCATATGTTTGGAGCTCAGACAAAAGTCTAGAGGTTTAAAGTGTAAAAAGTCCTCCTAGATCTAAGCATTCACTCAATGCTCACCGTTGCTGAACATTGGCAGGACAAAATTGCAAGCGGTCGTAGTCAAGACCACATTCCCCAACGGCCACAACCTACTTAACATAAAAGAAAGTAACTGCGGAATTATATAATTTACAATTGCCTTCATACTTGTGAAAAAAACCCTCACACTGAAGCTTGTATTGTCAAGTCAGTCCTTTAGTGCTGAGATTCTTAATTTCTCAACCACCTGCCTATCAATCCTGAATCCACTATCAACCACAAATAAAAAATAAATGCCAGTTACAACACAGACGACATATGACAGGCAAGATGATTGGTATTTCAGGAATAACGGGTCAGTGAGGTGGTACAACTTTGACGTCAAGCATAGGAATATCCAAAGATTGCTGGCTACCTTTCCTTTCGCGGCACCTTCTTTGGCAAGAGCTAGAAGTTCCTGGTAGTGCTTCTCAGGGTCCCCGCTTTCTTCCCACTCCTGTTCAGTTGGATGTCAGATTAGACAGCACAGTATATAAATTCGCAAAGACAAGGTCATTGCAGCACGTGGTTAAGTCTGTATCAACCCAAAGTAACCAAAGATTTAAGCACTTGACTTCGCAAAGGCTTGTATGTAAGACAATTCGATTATCACCACTCATCAACTTGTCTTTCATTTGTTTTGAAAGACAATCACATTTGCAAGTAAACTCTCTACCATTTCTGTTCGACAGCAGTTGAACTAGAGAAGACTATCAATTTGTAGGACGTTTCTCGGCAAGTTTTGTCGAATGGAACTGAAGCAAGGAAAGACATCAAATTTCATACCGAGCATCGAGTAGGATGTACACCGACGGTACAATATAGACGGCCTGCGTGAAGCAGTCACACTCAGTACTAAGCGTCCAGCAGAGAGCCTGCACCAGCACCTGTGCAGTATTTGCACGTTTGGTTCTGACATGAGCTAAAGAATTGCATGGTGAAGTGCGAAGTGAGTGAGCGCCACAATACCATCGGTGTCCGCGAGGGCTAAAGCTTCCCTGGATTCTTCCAGAGAACCGCCAGTCACCTGACAACAATACACAAGAACATGATCATGGGCTTCCAACTGGGCTAACCAGTTTCCTACCAGAGCTACCGACCAGAACCAAAGTGAGTAAAGGACAGCAAAGCAACGTGAAAAGAGCAGATTAAGGACGACCGACGGCTAGCTTGGCTTACAATTATGCGCTCTACACCAGCATCCCAAGCCCTTTTCAGGACGATGCTCAAGTCAGCTGCGTGCTGCTGCCTACCGTTGTACATGCCCTTAAACATGCCATCTACAACAGAAGTTTCACATCAGAAACAATGGCAACAATGTCTAACAAATCCTAGCCTGTCCGCAAACTCCCCGCGTCATCACAACCTCCTCCAACGCATGATAATTGGACATGCTCAAAGGCAACAGTCCAATATGTCCAACATTGCTATAATTCCTTGCTCTTATCACAAAAAAAAATCAAACAGAATCCTCAGAATCTGGTACTGAAATTTCTAATTCCGAATGCTTTTCCGAATCTCGAAAGTGGCTCCAAATTTCCGATGAGAATGTGAACAAATAATTACCTGTGAGATTGGCCGCAATGTCTGCACCCACCGACCAACATTACACAAAAATTCAAAATCACGAGTGGAAGCAGACATATCAGTCTTTCATCGAAAATTGACACAACAGAAACAAAGAGCTAAAAGATCCCCCAAAAATGCAGCGGACGACCTCACCTATAAACTTCAACGACGACATTTCGCCACTCTCTAAAGTCGTTTCTTCTCCCGCCTTCTGTCCTTCTCGGATTTGCTCCGCACGCCAATTTGGCAACGACGCGAACGAGAGCGACCAAAAACTCAAGAAATTCCGAGTCCAAGAATGCAGCGCATGGATCGACGAGCTCGTAGGGTCACCGTAGGCGCTCTCCTCCCGGAACGCAACCGAGTTGGTCTCCGGGACGCTTACCGAGTAGACAGACAAGCCAATCATCCACCACGTAGTGTGCGTGGTTCATGGTTCAGTGATCACGAAAGAACGAGCTCCAATCTTATCACGATCAACTGCGAGCTCCGTCTCCAGAGCTGCTTATCCGGCTTAAACTTGCATTTATCACATAGAAGAGCTCGCCAATATTAACCAGGACTTCCTGTGGGAATAACATTGTTGATGGTCTAAACATCACAAAGAGTGGATTTATCATAAATTATATGTGTGTATTGAATGAAAAGAAACTGCTATGGCATCATTTATCGTAAAAATGTTCTTATCCAGAATTGGAAGATAAAAGGCGCTACCTCTTCAAGATTTTGGCTCCTTTCAAGGAGATAAAGAATTGGTCTTCATTGTTGGACCGACAATAACAAACTTAGTTTACTAAATTAGTAAACAATGCTCTGTACTTGTAGGTTTCAGTTATATCTTAAAAAAGGATGATGCTTAAATCTTCTCTAAGGGCTATCATCGATAACTTTACGCAATGATCATACACCAGGCCAAGTGGAGAGATTGGAAGGAAGGTTACAACAGCACGACACTACATCTGGAGACATGAGTTCTGTTCGGTCTCCATAGCCTTCCACTTTTCATCGTGAAACTTTCTATTTACAATCTATCTACTTTTGTGTCCAAAGTGGTTGTTTATAAAAACATCTGTTTGTTCGAGATGTATCACGTGTCCAGGTAACAATTCGTTTCTTGGGATGTGAATAGTTTATAGTATTAGATCATTCAAATACAATATAATTGCTGCTATCCCTCATGGTGGACTAGCGTCGCTGATATTGCTTTCTTGGTCTCAAGGCTTCAATAAACTAGGACTATGCTCCGTAGACAAGGAAATAATTAAAGGTTAGAAAAACAGGAAATCGTGCTAGGTTATTTAAAAAAAACAGCTTTATTTTCGTAGTGAACGGATTTCGTTTATCAAGAAATCAATTTTCCTTCTGACATCTGATTTCTGACTAAGAAATAAATTAATTGTCTTTGTTGGTTGTTTCAAGAAATAACCAATTAAGCTCCAGTTGATCTCCATGATTATCTAGTTTGATAAAGATATCTGATCATGGCCAAAATTTGTGGAATTTCCTTTTTATGCTAACCACAATGACAATTTGCAGTTGGAGTTTTTGGCTCTTCATACTACATTGAATGCCATTATTAAACAACAATTAAAATACATCTATTAAACAAATTAGATAGATATATGCATCTACAAATTTATATCTGATCATTTTTTAATGAGAAACTTACACATTGTAAAATTTATAGGAGATATTTGCTTGATGGTATACCATCAAAAACATATTTGTTTCATGGGACTCATCAAGTTTTGTTTTACCTGATGTGATCTCACGGACGGTGTACCGTCGATGAGCTCTAGTAAATGTTCTAATATGAATATGTTATTATACCTGTTTTTGTATTTGTTGTTTTAAAAATATGTTCTTGTAACAATATATTTTAATAATTGTCCTTATAAAAACATGTTCTTGTTTTTCACTATCCAAGTTGCGTATCTCTTTGGTATCTACCGATCAGTGCTTTGACCAGCATTTCTTTGCACGTCACTCCGAGCAAGAGCCACTTCCACCGCCCCGACTGATTGATGCGAGACAAACTGAAAATGCATGCTTTGACGTAAATTTCTGCTCTCTCTTCTTCGGTACCATGAACATGAGATTCCGAATTACCATCGGCGACGCTCGCTGAGGTTCACCGACGATTCTTCACTCCTCGACATTCCATCTGCTACGCATGGTTGATTTGGAGCTTCTCCCTCGATGAATGCTATTCCCCAACCTTCCTCCCTTTTCCTCCCCCTCTCCTGTGTCACACTCAGTCTTGTTCGACCACCGCCTCTCTTTGTCTGGAGATTCCGAACTTCTTCCACGAATTTCTGCACCGCAAATTGCAACTCTCTGTGGCTCGTCGGAGCTCCCGCTAATGTCGTCGCGATCGTGAAGCAAGGCTCTCACCGTCTGTTCATACTAGAACAGTTGGGTTCCATTAGGTAAAACAAAATTTGATGGGTACCATTAAATAAATATTTCCAATTTAAAGCCCAAACCTTGATATGACTGAAATGAGATATTTTGTAAAATCATATAATTTGACTGCATTTTAAATAGAAACTAGGATTGATTCAGTATGTGCAACTTTGTGTATCTAGAGTACATCAAACACCTCATTTCTAAATATTACAATATACTCAAAAGAATATAGAAAAAAACTATGTGGATGCTTTTAGTGAAATGATAGAGAATATGGTGTATTACTACTAAGAAATAAAATATTATTACAAAATTCTTTATTATTAGTTTCATAAATCAGAAGTAGGTATTCCATAAAAAATCAAAGTACAAAATTTATGAAATGAAGAGAATACATTATTCCAATTTTATATTTTGAATAACGAGATTTTTATAATTTCAGATGAAAAAATATTTGAAACTAATAATTCTATATATGAACATGTTTCACATGTATGAATTAAATATTTTCTAAAAATATATTAAAAAAATTTGATAAGTTATTATTAGTTACATTCAAAGGTTTAACAGTTGGAAATTAGAAAATATGTAATAAATTAAATATGTATTGGTAGTTTGATCTGAAATATGGAAAAAAATACAATTTTTAATGTTAAATACTGAACATTCTATGCCAACATCTTCTTTTCATTCAAGTCAAAGTCTAATATGTTGTAGTCATGTAGTCTGTCAAAGTCTAGATATAGATTGCTGAAACTACTGACTATTAAAGGATCATGTGGTATTTTCGTACTATTCCAATGTTGACCCCAGAATTTTATTGCTGACTTGAACGCTGACCACGAAGGAATAAGTTCCTGTTTGGTAAAGCTTTTCAAGAAAATATTGCGAAGTAGCAATCGCAAGGGTGACATGAAATGCGCTGGAAGATCGAAGGCCGATTCTTCCTAACCTTCTAGCAGAACTGGATCCGATTCGTCTTCTATCAAGCCCCGGAAAACGTCAAAAGTCGAATGATTTTCCCGTCGAATCATAACGAGAGAATCAAAACTACCAGACTGGTTTTCTCCCTAAAGTGCTGTTGACGAGGTTGATGGGGCAGAAGAAAATTCGCCCTCTGGCTGTCAAGAGCACCGAATGAATGAATGAATCATCGAGCACTCTCGTCTGCCACCGAGCGAGGGTGGTGGGGCAAAGTCCTCAGGACGCCGGTCAAAGCCATGAGTCCACCAACATCGGGGAAGAGACGAAATCGGTCGCCCACGGAAAGCTTTCAAGCTCCGTCGCCTGGACAAGCGCACGAACACAGAGACCGCCCGGACATCCGAAGGCTCAGATGCATCAGCAGAGGAGAACCAACACGTGGCCATTAGGGTTCATGAGTTCCCCGACCACGGGCATCGCGCCACATTCATTAATGACCCGAAGAAAACCTTCGGCAATGAACCGAAGGATTCGACAGACCGGAGAAGAGAAGCGTAGCGTGGGACAGGCCTACGGGAGGTATTTATGCTGGGACTGGTTGCACCTGCTGAGGGGTACAGCCGACACCGGACGCTGCCGGTCCATCCTCTGAAAGAGCAGGTGGCCAGCGGGAGCTGTATTCGCGTCGGGGCAGGCTATTAAAATAATATAGCGAATGATTTAGGTCCAAAAGCTATCAATGCTAGGGAACCGCTTTTTCGGATGATGCCGGGCAGCCGGTGGATCTTCCTCATTGTTGCCCGTCGCAGCGGCGCGCTCGTCGGGCGCCAGCTCGCGACGGAGTTCTCGTCCTCTCAGCTCCTATTTTCGGGCGCTTTTACATGCGGCAGCCAAAAAGAGCTCTAGATCCCCCGCTGCGCTCCCATCCCTGACGACGCTCCTCCGACGCTCCTGCAACGTCCTCCTCCTCGCCTCCTCCTATAATTAGCGTGCCGACGGTGTCCGCCTCAATTGTTTCAAACGCCAACGCGCCAGCGGAAGATTCCGGCGATCGTGTATCTTTTGGTCCCGAGGTCCAGCACGTGGTCGCAATTTCGGGGTGCCATTCGACGGGCGACGGCATTTCGGTCGACCGTCGTGGGCGAGGCTGTGAGGGCCGGGGACGGACTTTAGCGGACCGGACTCTAGCTGAGGTCCTTCGTTCCGAGGGGACGACGGCGCCCCGGGTGGAGCAGGCTTCGTGGGCTCAGCCGGACTTTGTCGGGACTATGCTCTAGGACCCGATGCAGTACGAAGGCTTCGACTCGGGGGACGCTGGTTCGATGACTCTGCGACGGTGCCAGTGTGCGCCGTCGCCCTCTCGTCAAATTGTTGGTCCGCGTGGTTTATGTCTCTGTCCGCTCGGAGGTTGCTGCAAACCGGCGGACGGGAGCGAGTTGGCCATTTGGTTCAGTTGTCTGTTCCTGCCGGTCCGGAGCCTCGCTGCCGGGTCTGCGCTCGAAAGGCTTCTTCGTCGTCGTCGTCGTAGGAGGAGGAGGGGGAGAAGAGAGTGGGGGCCCAATCTGTGTTAGTGAATGAATATTCTTGTGGCTTCTCGTCTTGCGTCACTCGAACCACACATCCGTCGAGAATCATCATCATAAAGGCGTCGGCCGAGTATTGTCGATCGAGAGAGAGAGCATCGACATTCTGGCCTCTGTTTACTCGGTCGTGCTCGCATGCTCGGGACAGGTTTCGGATTCGGCTGCAGCTTAGCTCACTCCTGAACTGCTTTCCCGCACGTCCGCTATGGGGCTCCTGAGGCCTGTTCTCTCGATGCTCATAGCAGCGTCAATTTCTGCACGGTCTCTGCATCGCAAATCTTTGTCGCCCTCGGGAGCGCTTGCGGGCTTCGTCGTTCTCACCGCCACGCTGATGGCAGGCCCTAGGTCCCTTTTCTTACTCCAAAGTTGCATCTGTCTTTTTTCAGCATGTTGATCTGATACTTGAGCTTGGAGAGCTCGAACCTCTGGAAGTCTCGTTTTGGGCCCACGATTGATAGCCGGAAAACTTTGATTCTAATACTGCAGTTATGGAGAGCCATAAGGCTGCAGCTGTCGGGCTCAATTCGGCTTGTATGCGCCGTATGACTAAATTGACAAGCTTTGATGCACAGTACGTGTCCAGGAAAGAACTTCCTGTTACGGTCGTGGAGTTAATATATTCTCCAGTGTGTGTCATCAATTAAGCCCTTCGTTGTAAGGACTTGCTAGTGATATAATTATTCTTCGTCGTGTGAGGGTACCTGTAGCTTTTTAACTAATGATGGTCACTCGACTTTGGATTAATCTATCCTCGATCAGAACCACCTTTACCTACTAAATCTGTCGGTGTATTTTTCTGCGAGCGAATCTATGTTCTACTCTGCCAGAGTTTAGTTATGGGAGTTTTCGTTTACCACAGGCTACAAGTTCCTGGACTTCTCGATTGCTGGCGACCAATTTGCTAGCTTGTCAAAATAAATATTGACATTAGAACGAGCTCAGTCACGTAACCATCACTTGCGCCCTTTGTTCGAAATAGTGCTTCGAAGCAAATTGTTTCAACTCAGCATCAGACAATGTCGTGCACTGAGTAAAGCATGTCATCCGGTTTTAGATCGATCGACGGACTTAGTAGGAAATTTCGTATTTCTCGCAGAAATCAAGAAAGGTCCACAGGCCTGGATGTCGTTTTATGGGTTTGTAATTTCCATCTGTATGATACTTGCAGACAACCTAAGCATGGGAGACATGCCGTTGATGTTTCTAGTGTGCAGGTTTGGAGCGATCATTCTTGCGTTTTTCTTCAGCTCTTCAACGTTGACCAAGGTAAAAGCAGATGAGAAGAAGAATATCGAAGAAGATCACAAGGAAGGTGGACAACGTGATTGGTATGTCGGCTTGATTCCATCTTAGACCTGTCAATTTCGTGTTGGCGTCACAAAAAATCAGCTGTTTTTCTTGGTTGCGCGAGAGGGTTCGAAATTCACGCTAATTATCTGGATGCTTTCCTAAGTAATCAGAAGCTGTGGAATGTAACCACGTTCTTTGTAAGGCTTTGGCTTTTTTCTTTAGTAGAAGTAAGCGGCCTACCACAGAACCAAGTGAAGTTTGTTGCTTTTACTACCTCAATTAGGATCGCTAGAACAATTGGTGGCTGTTCATTGTACAAGCCAACGTTGACTCACTATCTTAGTCACTTATGCCTTGAAACGATAAACAGCCTAGTCTTGTACTTTGATGTAATAAGAAAAGTTACTGGAGAGCGAAATTGAGAAGCTGATGTTGATGTGAACGGTAGAGTCTAGTGTCTTCACAATGAACTTGTATGCGTCGTTGTTTGTTGACCGTCTCCCTTGATTGCTCCAGGGCACCAGGTAAATTTCAGCCATTCTTATCTGTTGCCTATATGGATCTGTTCTACATTAGTGTTTAAATCTGACCGATTCTTTCACTCAAATCGCAGGTCGCAGGTGTTGGCCAATAGCGCCGTGGGCACGATATTGTCGATTTGTGTTGCCTATGCGACTGGCTTCCAAGATAGGTGTTTCGACACCAAGGAAGCTCCTTTGGTGACAGGCTTACTCGGAGGCATACTGGGACATTATGCTTGTTGCAATGGTGACACTTGGTCTTCTGAGATTGGAGTTTTGAGCAGTAGTACTCCTCGTCTTATAACAACCTTTCGGGTATGTCTTGTGACAGTTACTGAACTTTCGTCTTTCTTACATATCGCATACTCATCTACTCCTGTCTCAAACTGCCAAATATGCTCCCTCTTTGGAGTCTCGGGTAAACTCGAAGTATTTCATGCTCCTAGTTGTGGGACGCTTAATTTCTGGATGAGGAACATGGTGACTCCTACGGTCAATCAGGACTTAATATGTAAAACCATGTAACTTGAATTGTCGTTGAAGCTTGTTTACCCGGTTCCGATCCGCATACGAAGGAGGCTTTGAAGTTATTAGTTTGTTGACATTGTTGTATTGCGACACTAGAGATATGTCTAGAATGAACTATGCTTGCAAAATTCTTCGGTATCCTGGGATCTGTGTCCCCTCAGCACTGACTTACTGGTCATTGCATCGTGAATGCAGCAAGTACCACGAGGCACCAATGGAGGAGTGAGTCTACTAGGACTGTTCGCAGCAGCCGCAGGTGGCGCCTTCATAGGCTTGACGTTTTTTATCGTAGGATATTTCACTGCAAGCTGCACCGGCCGGACTGGCAGTGCGCAATGGCTCCTGTTACCTATAGGAACTGCCGTTGGTCTGCTTGGTAGCCTGTTCGATTCTGTTTTGGGAGCAACAGTTCAGTTTAGTGGCAATTGTGCGGTTCGCAAGAAGGTACGTTGCAGTCTTTGGTGTATTGAACATGCTTCTTTCTTGAGTGCAAATGTCGGTAGCACGTTATAATATCTTATCATCTCAACCTCAATACAATGACTTGTATAACGAATATTTTTAGTAGGCGCTTAAGCTGACTTAGAGAAACGTATGATAACGCAGGTGGTTGGGAAGCCCGGGCCAACGGTGAAGAGAATATCTGGTTATGATATACTAACGAACACAGGTGTCAACTTTGTATCTGCTTTACTCATGTCCTTGGCAACTGCTGCCGCCTGCCTGTACATCTTCTGATAAATTTCTGAAGAGTATTGCTCAGTTGAAGCCTTGCTCCAGTTTAAAAAAAATTTGCAAGTTGAGCTGTGTAGTCGGCCAGTACCATTTCCTTTCACATAGAATTCGTCTTATTTTCGCCTCTCTTGAGTCAAGGATGGAGATGTTTTGAATTTTGATCTATGGTTGATTATGTTTACTTTATCTGTGCTCTGTTGAGTATTCATCGTTTGTTACTCCTGTTGGGGTGTATGATGGATACACCCGACAGAAAAGATGTAGACTGTTACTCCTTACCTGTAGAGAAAAGATGGAAACTGTGTAGTCAACGAAGAAGAAATAGCTTTCAGTCGCCCACAAGTTAAGTGGATGTAACTTTCATTACTCCTTATATGCCCTATATCTGATAACTTTGTGGATGTATGAGCGTGCCTCTAGTGCTACAGGAAAGCACTCGATCGTCACACGAAAACTTTTGTTTCCTTCTCAAATTACTGTGGCCGAAGAGATTAGCTTCACTAAGCAGAAAAATGAAAATCGCAAAGATCAACAATTCGAGTTTTCTTAGTGGAGTGATGTATTGTATATCATGTTTGTACGATTTCGATGACAGAATCAATACAGGACTACGACTAAAAACGTTTTTTTGTGGGATAATCTCAATGAACTTTGACGAATTACATCTCTGTCAATGATAACAAATGTTTGGGAGTTTCAGGATAGGATCAGGGTAAACGTTACAGATAGAACAAGTGCAGTAAAGAACTCCTCCAGTTTTGGGCTTACTTGTGCGTGGAACAACTGTTACGGGCAATAAATTGCACGGACTCAAAAGTAGGACTTCGTCCCAATAACTCTAAAAGTTGGCCGTAATACGCATGCAATGTGTCAGGGCCCAATTTTCAATATCCTCCAGTGGCATTTCGTTCGAGAAGGTAATGCACACGGCTTGCTCTTGAGTCAGGTCCGCATCCAACGTGTCCGGAAGAAAAAATGTTCTTGAGATTTGCCCATGGCGGTGTCTTATAGCGGGTTGAACCTATAACTTCGAGATAGTAGTTAATCCGAACCATGCTAAAAATTCGGGCCACTTTCAAGTGTTGCGAAGTGACTGATAATTGTTCATGAGGGGATTTCACATGGCGTAATAGTAAATCTCTTGTATTTGAAGATATGCACAACGTGTTATAGACTCACTCACATTACATTAAGAAGATGTTCTTAATAGACACGGACATGGTTTCTCATTCTGAAAATGATCAATCATGATGCTCTTCTAGTAGATAATCGGGTGAGAAGATATTCGTACCGGCTGAGAACATGGTGGTCTTCCACATTGTTGGGACCTAGCACTATATTATATCCCTGCACGACTTAATGCCACCACTTTTACTTGCGGATGTCCACTAATCTCGTAAAGATGCTCTTCTACAAGCCACTCATTGAAGAGTCTGCAATCTTCAAGTTCTCGACCTACCAGCGAGAACTAGCATCTGGTAGACTATTTCCAACGATGGCTGTGAAGATAGTCTAAGTCTACAGATCTGACACTGGTTTATGAACTGGAGCGAGCCTCATAGACGAAGAAGATGAAAGGCACATTTACACAACACATAAGGATCATCAACTTGATCTAGATGGTGATAGAAGTTGCCTAAAAGTAGAGCATTTGTCATATTTTGGGAATGGCCAAAGGTGGAATGAATGTGCACTATTTCAAGCACTAACAGAAGCATTTGAAGGGCTTCTGAATGGTCAAGGCCTCGAGTGAAAACTCTTGTGAAGACTCGTCCAATGAGATCAAGAGCGTGAAAATCGCTGATTGATTGACACCGGAACTTGAGTTCATGCTGGCGATCTCGGATCTGAGTTGGAGTTTGGTTGATTTATGTTTGCTCACATGGATGCGTACTTTATTTACTTAAAACGTACACATTTAAAACGTCTGAAATAAAGAAAGTTTATATTTAAGAAGTCTTTTATCCTATTAATAGTCATGAGTAATATAGTGGAATGTGGTGGTGGATTTAATTATATATAGTAACATAATACAGCACTAACTCATCGATCATTGTTCTTCTTGCTTAAGAGAATGGAGTCAGGATTCTCCTCGGATGATCCTTCGGCATATATAACACTTTAATTGTTCAACCAACTCCAGTTCGTTAAGAAATAAGAGATTGGGTCTTCAAACCCTTCATTCTTCTCTAATGGACCTCGTTCAATGCATTTTGTTCCAATCACTCCACCACCATACGCGACACCATGATGACCAATTCATCCCGATATGGTTCCGGCATCACTTCTGGATCTTGATCCTTGTATAGAGATATGATGTGGTGCTTAATGATTGTCGTGTGGGACTCTATATCATCTATCATCTTTCTGACCAAAGAGTTATGCGCCACAATAACTTGCATCTCAACCCTGTAAGAGCATGTGCGATTGCGGCGAACGCAATGCACTCTCTTTCCCACTTTGTGCTGCCATTCAAAGTTACATGATGATCATGTTGCAATATACACCTTGATCAAAATAGTAACGAGATGGAGACATTTGAACTGTCATCACCCATAAACATGACGGATTTATAATCCTTATATGGTGCCATGCTGGTCATGAATTGCATTTCTGTGATGAAGAACTCCATGAATTCCATCTTCATTCTTTCAAATAACTTATCATACTCTTATGAAGATTCATGATGGCGAGTCAAAAGCTTGATTGACTCATGATATTGATCAATGAGTGATACTTTGCCAAACTCAAGCATTTGATCATCATAATACATGTGCAACATTCATTTGAACTCATGATAGAATGGGTGGCAATAGAATGCAAGCGTGTGAACGGTCCAATAGATTTGATCTCATTGATAACAAAGTTGAGCTTGCATGTGTTCAAGTTTGACACCCGACAACACATTAGGAAGATGGAGGAAGAGGAATACGAAAACCGCATTGACAATAGTCATCGTCAATGATTTATGCTCAATAATTTCAATGCACTTGAAGATGGTATCAAACAAGTCGATTGCAGAGTTAACACCGCGCTCGAAACTACTCTTGTTGATAATGTTGACGAGATTGTTTGGAAGTTCATAGTTAGCATCAATATCTCGCTTCTTGCGCTACTCCTCAATCAGATTTGGCATAAAAGTGATGGAATGTTTGACTGTCTTGTTGACGAACAAACATATAGTTCACACTCAACCAACGTGAAGTTGAATACAAAATCATTGAGTAAGATTAATAATGAATCTACTTGCAAACTACAGAGAATATCTTATTGAGTAGGGTCTGGTTTTTTATGCATTTTCAAACGAATAGGTGAAGTTGTAAAGATGTTGGTGTTTGTAAATACCATCTGCAATAAGGCGAGTGGAGCAAATCGTCATATAGCACTAGCACCAATGACAAGATGAGTTTTTATATTTGACGTTGTTGTAGAGATGAAAGATTTGCAATGCTTGCATTCTGTTCTAACAAACTTAAACTTGGAATAAGCCCGAAGCTTGCTTTGACATTGAGATAAACAAGTTTGTCAATATCATGTTAAGAGGTAGATTCAATATCCATGAGTAGTGTAACTAATAGTAATTTGTTAGTGATTCCTTCTTAACAACTTTGTTTGCCGCTCATTTTGTTTATTGCAAAAAGATTTAACCTTGGAATTATTACCTCATGTATAATTTTTAACTTCATAATTAAAAAAACAATCATACTTAAATAATTGAATTGACTTTACATGACATTCACTTAAAATAGACATGAATATTTTTGTACATAACATATATCAATTCCTTATAGATAAATTCCATCAACTATACAAATTGATTATTGAATTGAGCTATCTTTACCATGTACCGTGTGATCACACAAGCCTGATAAATCGTATGAGGTTAAACTGCAAACATTACATTGTATACATGGATAAATTTGTAATCTCAGTAAACTCTTTCACACGTTTCAAAGTATCATTACCATGTTTCAATTTTTTTATCCAAATCGATGAAAGAAAAGCTTGGACTTGCATCCTCGCATCTCCAACGAGAACCCCCAACAAGAGCCGAGAGCACAAATGACAAAATTAATTGCACGAAGCTTGCGAATATGAAAGAATCAAAGCCGAGCAGAGGAGTTTCCGGACCGGCTGAAAGTTCTAACGAGAGGACGCTGAGTCAGTTGGCCACAAAGGAACGGCGGGAAGTGTCGTGAAATCAGGACTGCATGTCATCCTTGTCACTAAGAGCTCCTCACAATCGGAGTAACGCGAGCTTTGTCCGGGAGAACTTTCTGTCCGCCTGGACCCGCAGCCCGACCCCCTTCCCCCGCAGCCTGACCTTCTCCTTCAATCAAGGAGGGTCGCCCCGCTCCCTGGTATAGGGTTTAGATGTTTGGGGAGCCCTTAGTGGGGAGGGTAGCCACTATATTAACATGTTTAATCCGTGAGGGTCACATTACACATTACACTCTGTGAGAGTCCATTACATTACACTCCGTGAGAGTCCATTACATTACAATCCGTGAGTGTCAAATTGCTAACCAAAGCAATTTTTGACTCTCCTTACAACATTGAGAACAATTTTGAACTCCTTCCCACTTCTATTTTTACTCTCTTCTCAAGGTATGTACAACTCTCTATGTTTTTTTATTCTTTATTCAATTGTGAAATGCAAGGTCCTTTCTTTTAACTCTACATACATGTAAGTTTGTGTACACTATTTTATAATTGTAATAATTTAGGGTTTAGCATATTTTCATTTGAGTATTGTGTGCTAAATGGAGATTATATACTTGTAGATTTTGTGTCAAGCATTGGCGTGAGAGATGGAAGAAGATGAAGACTACATGAAGGATGATAATTTCTATCCCTCCGACTTTGAAGACGATTTAAGTGAGACGGTGGGAGTGGAAAAAATTCTTCAAGGTGTGCACATTTGAAATTTAGGGTTTCAAGAAACTTATTTCTTGTCATCAAATGGAGAGTCGGATGAGGATGATGTTGATGAGGAGATTTTGGAGCCTTGGGAGGAGATGTTGTAGGAGGGTGTGGAGCATTTCAACATTGGAGGTCCAACAATTCTTCTTCATCAATTTTTGAAGACATTCCCATTAAAACATTCCCCAAATATGTCCACTTCAATCTCCAATCTCTTGCACTCATGATTGATTTCATAAAAGCAGGATATTTTTACTCATATCAACAAATTCATGAGGCAAATTCTTTCTTTTGTTCCCTCTCCAATCTTCATAGGCCTTCCACCCAAAAGAATGTGGAATTTCTTAAATTGAGAGGAGGCAAAAACTTCAAGGAAGATTAAAAGTTATATAACTTTTAGTAGTATTTGTTTTTTACCCTTTGAATGACACAAAGTATAGACAAATTTTGCCAATAGAGTCTTGGCTTTCCATTGTGCATGGAGTACACATTGACAAAAATGAGAAATATTTGTCATTCATCATGACAACAAATGTCATTCGTACTCAATGAAATATGAATAGCTATGTTGGAGGAATTCAAGACTCATTCATAAAAAATTGTATGAACTCTTGTGATGTATGCCAAGAAAATAAGATGTGAGATGAGGTAGTGAAGGTTCCATTGAAGTAGATTTGAATGCAACTATAGATGCACTTTGCAAAAGTATATTGTGTTAAAAAGTAGTTTGAGATGTCATGTATGAAGAACCAAAACCTTGACTTATTACGGTTATCATCGTGAACAAAACAAAAACCGTACTCATAGGAGAACGGTTGATGTGAAATCTATGGATGACAAGGGCTTTAGAAACATAAAATCTCTAGATTATGTAGTTGCGAATTTCAAATGAAGGTTGAGGAGCCCAATGTGTGAAAGTGCTCAAACACTTTGCCTCATAATGAGCTTCAAGCTACAATCTATGTTCATAACAAACATAGTGGTCACACTTCGGGTTCCGATTCCAATCTCTTTTTTTTTTTACTGATGCAGCCTTATGTTATCGCATGGGTTATGAGAACTTGAAGTTTATGCTTTCACCAAGGATCATTGAAGCAACATCGATTGCAGCTCGAGAAAGATTTTCACAAAATGTATCGGAGATGAAACGTGCTACATATAGATTTTTCGTCACCAAAAAAGAAGTGCAAATACTTGCATTTTCTTTAAAAATAAAAGGTATTTAATTTTTTTCTCATATTTCATTTTTTATGTGAAGTTATGAATGCATTGAGTATTTAAATTGTACTTTAATTCTTCATGTTTATGTTACCATTTTATTTTTAAATTCTTCATGTTTTTGTTTTAATTTGTATTCAAATTTTTGATTGGATGTGTGTAGATGCACTTCAGAAAAACAATTGAGATGCGGCACAAATTGAGATCATGAATTTACAAGTTCAATGGAAGATTTTGTACTATTAACCGTATGCATCCAAGAATGAGTCCCCAAGCAGAGATCAGTTGTGGTAATTATACAAGATGATTTCATGCAAAAATCGGCCCTACGGTTTTCAGATGATAATTCTTGGGCCTTGAATTCTACATTAAAAACAAACCAATACGATTTGACTCTTTATGCAACAATTGTATCAAACCAAGATGGAATTGGAATTACGGTTTTTTACATGCTTTGTAGCAATGAGGTTAAAGAGGAACATGAGGGTTTTGCTATAGAGATAGCATTATTCCATATGTTTGGATCTTTAGGAGAGTTAAGACACTCCGCAATCATCATTGATAAACACAAGTCATCTTTGAATGCTAATCAAAGGGTTGTGAGCAATGATGTTCATTGTTGGACTTATGAAGAGGGTATCAAAACACAAGTTGGTCTACAAGTTCTCTTGTGTCATTTCCATGTTATGAATGCATGGAGTGAGAACTTATTAACCAAGGTATCTAATGAGTACAAGGATCGGATGTGGAAAGCATTACATGTTCTAATGCTTTGTCCTTGTAAATATCATTTTCATGAGAATTTAAGAAGATTTTGTGTTGAGTTTCAACACATACTGACCTTTGCCAAATACGTGATTTTCGGATGGGTTGGAACTACTTATCCTTGGAGAAGGTTGTGGCTTCGATCTGGGAGATTATTTGCTCATGGGGATATGTATACAACTAATCATGTTGAAAGACATTGGGAGTTGATAAAATACACCCTCTTACAAGGATTGCAATTGCAATTGCAATTGTTGGCAGTGCCAAGGATGGCATTCGTGTGGGCCAACCCAAATTATTGAGTCAATTCAAAATGACTCAACGTTTAAGTAAGTTTCTCATTTTTGTATATTATTCTATGTTTATTTTATTATATTCAAAAAAAAATTCAAAAATATCTTTTGAACATGATGTTAAGTTCAAAACTTTTTTTGAACTCAAAAACGATACATAAGGAGAGTGAATAACCAGGCTCATAGACGTCGATTGAAAGGAGTAGAACAATTATTTGAAAGCTTATCAATCTTATCTTATGGATGTCTTGAAGGTTGTTGATGAGAAGCATATCCTTTTCATGTCAAGAGTGAGACTTCTCCTAACCTATGGTATAGTGTTTCATTGAAATCATATTATTGTGATTGTCCGGATAGGATCTCCACTTGCAAGCACATACTTGGTGTGCAATTGATTGATCGAAGGTATTTTTTGAAGGACTCAAAGAAAATTTAATGGTTGAGGAACCATTGTCTCCAAAAATCAACATGGAAAACATGGAGCTTATGAATCCAACTCAACCAGATGTACAAAGGAGTAGGCTCTTTCGATTGGTGTCATGCGTGAAAAGGCGTTCAACATGCTATGTGAAATTGAATCACTATGTCAAGCAATATTTTATGAAGACAATGACGAAGGGATGAAGCAAAAATTTCAGACACTTCAAACTTGTTTTGGCACATTATAGTAGCCTTCAAATTTTGAAAGGCCCAATATAATTACTCTTCCACTCCGAGGTTCTATTGCATCCATCCAAAAGGACGTGAAGCGAACGAGAATGGAACATGGGAAGAAACGTAAGATTTTGGAAGTTGGTGAAACAAGTGCTCCACGCCCCCTTTTGAAGCGCTCTTCACATGTGATTCTTTCACAATCCAAGCAAAAAAGGATGAATTTTCGTTAGCTTGCGAGAGTCACTTGTGACATTTGTGCTACAAAAACATTAATAGAGTGAGGAACAAATTTTCTTTTTTTTGCAAAAATTGTGACCATGAGATTTTTGTGAAGTAAAATTTATGATTTGAGTTTTTTTTATTGATTTTGTTATCACTTTGTAATTTCCATTTGTGTAATTATGAATTCTCTTGTGATTCTCTATCATGTTAATACATGAATAGATTTCTTTAAGTTTAAAAATTAAAGAGAAATAAGAAGAAAATAGGGCTTTGGAAAAAAAAGTACCTAGTTTTGTTTGGGGTAGAAGAGTTGACGCCCCAAACATGCTACTCTATTTCTCTCTCCTCGCAAAAGAGAGGAGAAAAAAAATACAAAATACAAGTTTCCTGCGGGGGAAAGAGTCCGATGGTCGAGCGGGAGTGGGGCGAGCTAAAGCGGGATGTGGGGGAAGAGGTCGGGATACTGTCCCGGGCGGCAGAAAGCGCTCCCGGGCAGAGCTCGCGTTCCCCCGAATTGTGACGAGCCCTTAATGACGAGGGCGGGCAATCCCGTTTCACAAGACGGGGACAAGGTGCGTCCCAACTGCCCGATGGGTCTACCGTCTCGACGACCAGTCGTGTGAAAGTCAGCGCTACGCGGTGACCCGGACTTCGGGGCTTCGCGAACCACATCCAAGCCTGAAAGAGGGTCGTCCATCGCACGACCACGCGAGTAGTTACGAAGTTCGAATTCGGAGAACCGCGTAGCATCCGTCGCAGTTGGCGGATGCTGCACTGCGCAGTCGAACCACGCAACGTCCGCCCGCTTACTTGTCTCGTCGGATCGAGTGCACGTGGTGAGCGGAGTCGACGCAGTTCATTCGTTCATTCGTTCATTCATTCGTACGAGAAATCGTCGACCGGAATTCGAACATCGGGGATTCGGTTCTTGGATTTCTGCATGCATTGACGTAGAGATGCCATTGATTTGTGGGAAGGATCGATTGACGAAGCCTAATGGAGGTCGAAATCTCGCTTCTCGACGACATTGCGATGATTAGCGAGAGAAAAGCGAGTGATTGATTAAATACTCGGACCTTTTGCTCGCACGGAGCGACGCAAGATTCATTCGAGCGGGGAATCGGCAAATCTTGCGAGATTGACAGGATTTGGTTACTGAAGTCGCGATCCGAATGTGGAAGAATTGAGGAGATGAGATGAGATGAGGCGAGGCGAGGGTCGTCGTGCGTGGAGGTAGAGAGAGGAGAAGAGCGCGAGTTCCAACTGCCTAACCACCGTGGCTTGGGAGCCAGGCATGAGACAGTGGCGATCATGAAGGAGCCAGAGCTCGTGATCAGAGGGTCGAGCTCTCGGGGAGCGTCTCCGGAGACAGTTCTGTCGGAGCACCAGGCGCTGGGGGCAGCCGTGGTGAAGGCGCAGAAGGTCAGAGATTCTCGCAAGCTAAGCTGGGTGGGGTACGAGGATTTGATCAAGAGCAGGCCCGGAGAAGACTTTGGCAGGTCCCTGAGCGTGAGCCCGAACGGAGCATCCCGTCGATCTTCTCGACTCGCTTCGCCGGACACCAGTCGAGCACCCTCGAGAGGCCCGTCTCCGGTGGAATCCGCAGCAGCAGGAGCAGCAGGCCCGCCATCATCTCAACAACCCCGAAGGCCTTCGCCTGTCGACATCCGGGCCAGTTTTCTGCAAGATCCTCCGGATCTTTACTCGTTTCCCAAATCGAAAACCCATGTCAGGTTCTCGGCGTCTCTGCCCAATTTGCCCATCGAGTCGTCTCCGACTCGGCGAGGCTCGCCGGGGAGCCCAGAGCTTCAAGTGGGACCGGTTCCGCCATCGTCACCGGGGCTTCCGAGCCCGAAATTGCAACGCCCCTCGTTAGTGGGGCTGTTGACCGAACATGATCGGAATTCGATCTTCGGTGCTCCACAGCAAGAGCCAGAGGCTGGGATCAAGATCACCTCCACTCCCCGTGTGCCTGGCGATGAAGCGTGGAGGGAGGGCAACGATGCTGATCCTCCGCCCGTGCAAGAGAGGCTCGAGAAACAGGGATTGCTGTTCAATGTCCCTGATTATTTGGCATCTCTTCGAGGCTATTCCCGCGACGGCGATGGAGGGCATCCGGTGCTGGGTCCTCGGCCTTCGAACGTCGCAGGAGTTCCGGTGATGGCCAGCCATCGACGAAGCACCTTCGTCCGAGCTGTGGAGGCCGTTACCAGCCTCGGGGCCACAGTCCTCGCCCCCAGTACCGAGAGGAGGACCAGCAAGTACGTCACCACCGCTGCCCGGAAAAACAGCACTGTGATCGTCCCTGTCAATGCCAAGCAATGGCTGCTGCAGTCCTTGAGGATGCAAGATTGGGAGCTCCGTGAGTTATTCGATCAGGTTAGACTGCATTGATGCCATATCATGGCCAGACCTTCTTCCCGATTGCGATTGTTTCTTCAGCTCGAGCATTTGGAGGATCGTAGGAAAGTCCACGCGCTCGAATCTCAGATCGTAAGATGAGAATGATTCCTACACGAAAAGGTATCGAAATGTGTGATGTATTAGGACAATAGGTAAGAGATTATGATGTCTCGAAAGCGATGAGCTGGAGGAGCTGAAGTTGTTGGGTAAAGTATGTTTTTTTCACAATTGTGATGATTACAAGGTACACTGACTGCAGAAGAAGTGAGCTGACTTCTGAATCTTGAGTGTCTATTCTGATGGTAAACTGTTGTGATTAACCATACTGTCGTTTCACAATGTCTGCAGATGGAAATGATACCGCAACTAGCTGCAGACCACGTGAGAGAGGTGCGAGCAGAGTGGGAATCCTTGGAAGCTCGATCTCTGAAGGTTCCACCGGAGGCAGACATGCTCCTCAAGGATCAGCAGCTGCTAGAGAGTACCAAAAATCTTCTCCGGCGCTTCATCGCTGTGGTGTCTACTGATGAAGGCGTGCAGGAAACACAAAAGCTGCCTCCACAGGGAACACCAGATCTCAGCATGGGAACAACCACATCAGAACAGGGTGATGGTCACATGCAGGACTCCATGGATAAGGACGACACTGAAGCTTCTCGGGAGCAAATCAGGAAAGAGAGAGATTCATTCGTCTCCAGTGCCTCTCCTTGGCAGAATCGAGGCTCTTTGTCTCCCGTTCAAATGCCTCCACGAGAAAGGTCTGGGAGCGTCTTGGGACGACCTGTTTGTCCTGCGTGCGGACGAATGGATACTTCAGCTCCCAACACGATCATCAGAGGAAGAGTTTTACCAAGGGAGAGCGTCTACCAAGAAAGAGCACCATCGATCCCTCACCAGAATCTTCCGTCTTTCATTCCCTTTGAAGACTATGTCGTTAAACAGTCCGTGGTGAAGGTAAAATTTTGACATCGATAAGAATTGTTCATGACAGCTGTAGAAGAAAGTCCAAGTAATTGTTTCTAATAACATTCGTACGTTATCCTACGTTTCATGGTTGGTACCCTGGTCTTGTGGTTGAGTCATTACCAGCGTCTTTGGCTTGCAACCACCTGTGTCCTAACTCTCGGAATTACTCATTTGTGATCATAGCCGACTGGAAAGTCCGACCAGTTTAAGACGACATACAGTCCATTGGACAAACGTTGGTACACAGTTCTTTTTCCTGCATTACAGGTGATCTTTCGTCAGCATCTGAGAAGCTTGTAAGTCCAGTCTGTACCTAGAATAACCAGAATTGCTTAGGACAAGAGATTAGAATTTTTAATCTTTTCACATTTCAGACATGCTTTGTCATCTGACGAGAAGTAAGAAAATCCTGTGCACTGTTTCTTGCTTACTCAAATGCAATCAGTTTCTGAGGCGCTGAAAACAGTATACGAGAAGAGAAGGTAAATAAAAGAAGAACTTTGGTAAATAAGAGAAGGACTTTGAAGACATTGATGAAGGATTTATGCAGCCAGGAAAAAGAGAGGACGTCACCTTGCTCAGCGAATGGCTTATGCATGCAAGTCAAAAAAATGGCGTGGAGGATGCTGATGGTCATTTTTCAAATGTTGAAACAGCTTTCGTTCTGCATTGTATAGCATTTTTGGAGATAGTGCGGCAGGTGCAATTTACTCTCACAAACCATTTTCAACGTTATCATAGGGCGAAACCATGTCCTCTGTCCACATGTACCAAACCCACAAGTCATCTGAGTCCATCGTCCGTTCTGCTATTTCCATCGGGATATGAGTCCAGAATATAAGAAGTCATATCACTTCATATTACGGCCCTCAAGCTGGTTTTCAATTGTGAGGTATGTGTCGCGGTTCTTACATAGTACACGACGTTTCTGAAGAAGTTGTCCTGACAAGAATGTTAGTCGTTGTTTAAATTTTGGGCGGGCAAGCTAGCAGTGCTTGAAGACAAATCTTGAGAAATTCCCGTCCCAGGTTTACTTTGATAATGCATCATCATATCACCACTAAAACGATGTATTGCTCTTTTTCTGTAATTGTTGTCTTTGCGACGTTGCTGAATGTGTGCGAAGGATACTTGATTGTGACCAGGTTCGCATTCACTGTGAAGAGAGAGGAGACATGATTTTGCATGTCTGGCGGCAACTGCTCCGGATTTTCAACCAGGTTCATTTTCTTCCGGGTTAGCTACTGCGCTTCCTCAACGTATCTGTGCTAAAACGCAAACCAAAAATGATGTGAAAGCCACTCGCTGATCTTAACTCCCCTGAGATATCCGATGGTCCAGCATAACAGCAAGATCCATATATATACCACACGGTACACTTTGCTATGTATATGAACTGAATCAATGATATAGTGGTGCTGTATAAGGTGATGTGTTGACACTACAACAGGGTATCTGACTACACCGTTGTGAGTTGAGAGGCTTCTTGTTTGTGTGTTGAAGTTCCACTCGCCTCTTGCATTGAAGTTTTACTCGTTCATTGATGAAGACAATGATACGAGCCGAACCCAAAGTAATAGCTATGGAAGAGGAGATCAACAAACTCAAAGAGGTCAACAAAAAGGACGCCGCCGAGATCAAGAAACTAACGGCTAGCTTTGAAAAAACCACCAAGTCTCTTCATGATGTGGAGGAGAAACTGAAGATCAAAATCGTAGAAGTTACCAAAATGAAGCGATGCAGGTTATGTGTGGCTGGGAACATGACTCCGCGTAGTAGAGAAACGTATATTAGGAAGTCTATGCTTAAGAGATACTCGCAGCTAGCAGGGGTTCAAGCAGCAGGACTTCTGGGAGCTGATGGCAAAGACAAGACACGTGCTGAACTTTTCCAAGATGCTCTGGTTGAGAGCGATCAAGAGTCTGCTAGAGGAGCGAAAATAGGTAAGGATGGAAAGCCATTAGCGGGAACTGATCAACAGATCCCGACTGATGGTACTGGTGGCGCTGGTGTTGCTGATGGAGAAGGATTTGCTGGCTCTGGTAGTGCTGGAGTTGGAGGTGCTGCTGGAAGTGGTGCAGGATCACAAACTACTGAAAGTGGAGTTGGAGGTGCCGCCGGAAGTGGTGGAGGATCACAAATTATAGAAACTGGAAAATACAAATCCACCACTGTCATTACCTTCTTGCGTGCCGCCCTTCTAAAGCGTTCCCAACGACCTACCTTAGATGAGGCTGCAAAGAAAACAGTAGAAGACGATATGGCTGCACTTGGCTTAAGTCTAGTACAGGCTAGTGTAGACAAGGAGGAGAAGGAGACCCAGACCGATGAAGTGACAATCAAGGAGCCGAGTGAGTTTGCCAGTGTTTTGAAGAGATCTTTTAGTTGTCCAGCCAGAATGTTCTGGGTTGAAGAACTAATTTCAGATGAACAACGTGAAAGACACAGATCGTGGATGGAAGAGCAAGGCTTAGTACCTCCAGAATCTAGTGAAAAAGTCCAAGCAGATGAAGAGAAGTCTGGAGAGGGTGACGATGACGAGGTTGAGATAGTTGTCGCAGATAGAGCAATTAGGCAGCCTGAAGGGGAGGAAGCTTCGGCCTTAGCAGCAGGAGAAGGGGGAATGAAGGGAGAGAAGAGAAGCTTTGGGCAGGTTCACAAGGCAATGAAGAAACAAGTGAATAAACTGGCAACTGAGACATTAGATGCTCTCGGGGCCCTTGGAGAAGAAATCACTCAGTTGGCAGGAGGATCAGGCGCGGACGTAGCTTTCAGAATGGCAGCATTGATTTCTAAGTGGAAAAAGGTGGCCAAAGCAACCGGTCCAGGGCTACCTCGATCTCCAAGAGATGGCGGTTCAGACGATGCTGGAGGAGAGGGTGGTGCAGGGGGATTTGGAGCAGGTTGGGGGCTAGGGGGAGGAGGAGGAGGAGGCGGAGAATCTGGAGCTAGTGGAGATACAAGTGAAGATTTTGAATGGGAAGATTTTGATGAAGAAGGAGAAGATGGAGATGGAAGAGGAAGGCGTAAGAGAAGGGGCAGAGGTGCCGGTAGAAAAACTTCGTCCACAGGAGTAGGTGAAGACGGAAGCACAGGGGCTGGACGGACAAGAAGGAGTCTCCTTGGTCTTGATAGAGACACTGGTGGCAAGTCTAAGAGATTACCAGGAAAATCCACTACGTATGCAACTTGAACCACCTCTGGCAATCTCGCATTAACATCCAATGAATCTCTTCAATTCTCAGTTGACTTTATTTAACTCTGATATACACCTTTTCACCCCCCAAACCTACAAGTTTGCTCTTAACTGAGGGACTTGTCTTTAGATCTTAAAAGTCTTGGTAAAAATGACGAACTCAGATTGATCTAGCAATCTGGTGCACAGATGTCGTTCTGTGATCTTACGACTTCCAAGGAAGATAGTCCGGTTTAGCCTGAACAAGAATAAGAACTCAGAAGGAAAGAACGGAATCGGTGTCCAACATTCATTCATCTGTTATTATACGTAATTATATCTCTAAGTTTGCCGAAGAGAACATGTATTTGGCACCTTACAATCCAATTTCATCAAATACTGGACATTTTACTTGAGGACATTTTTCTCATGTGAAAGAGAATGACCGAACTTACACAATTCTCACCCTTTTAAGCGGAAAGGCACGTTGACCATCCCGTGTACCTAGAAGTCCTCTCCACTAAATGCATAGGAGGACAATGCAAGGATGGCCTGCTCCAAATGAGAATTTCTAACGGGACTGGATCATGAATGCAGTGCTGCCGCGTTCGAGTTAGGTAAACTCGTGCCCCTTGGCTTCGCGAAGATGATGAATATAAACACACCTCCCAAGGTCGTCAAGTTTTTCAACGAAAGGCAGGTGAGGGTTTGGAATGTTAAAATTGTGAACTTGCTACTTAGTTTGCTTCGTCACGGATGAAAGGTTTTCTGCTTTCATACCTTGAAACAATGTGTTTCACTTTTAAAGTTAGGGTAGGTTTTGTGTACACTGTGAATAGGAATGTCATCTCAGGCTAGTCGCCTCTCTTTCCGGGTATGTTTTAAATCTTGACATACTATATTTTGCAGCTGACCAAACTCATCACATCGGTCTATGTTGCTAAAATCGATGCCGACGCTATCGACGATGTGTCAGACAACGAGCGCCAGTCATCATGTGAATTCGTTTACGATTTTATGCTCAACTTGTATGGTTTGAAGAGGCTGGCAGAGTCCGCTGTTTGGGGACTTTTCAAAAAAATTAAGTATCTCCAACAGCAGAAAAAGATAGACAAGGCTCACAAGGTAGGCCATGACCTATTCCTCACACAAGGTACTTTCCAACGAATTTTGACACACATTTGTGTCCACACAGTGAAATCATCCATCATCGTCCACTTGTGGTTACACGAAAATGATACCACGTAAACCAATTCTGTCAAACCCATACATATATATTTATAAAATATAAAATAATGTTTCGGTTCCTGGTCATGTCAGATCTCAAAAGACAATTGGAACCCTTATAGCAGTACTTCAAACGTAAGTCCTGCTTCTCCTTCACTTAAGTTTCGTGAAAATGTACACACGGTAGTAGAACTTGAAGGTCGTATGAACATATCTGCCCTTCGAGTCCCTCCGAGCGCACTCACTTTCTCACTTCCTTCAAAACCCTTGCGAGTGCATCAAATACATCAAAAATTGAAGTGGTCAACCCCACGGAGAGAAACTCTACCGAAAGCCCAAACTTTGCCAGCAATGTTTCATCTGATATGAAAAGAAAGCGTCTGGTTCGCCGACCCCTGTCTGCGGCAAGCCTGAAAGGAAGTTGCTTGATACAAGCAAAAGCTATTCCAATTACCCCTTACGCGCATATCCCAACGTTCCTGAAGGGTAAGAAGTTAGCAGCCAGACTCTGTCACTCTCCTGACGTCTCCTGGCCAAAATTCCCATCACGGTCTCCCGATCTCGACGGAAGCAGGTGAGTGTCAGTGACCAAATAGCATAAAGCTGCAAGCAAGTTGCATGACCGTAGTCATGGATCCAAGTCCCGTTTACTCATCCATGAGATCCACTGAAGCTTTCTTCGCAGACTTTTTCTTCTTCTTTCCTTTGCCATCAGGCTTTTTAGCTGGCGGATCAGGTGCCGGAAGGGTATTAGTCAAGTGCTGCTGGATTGCAGCAAAGGGATCTGTCTGAAACTCGGGATGAGCTAGCACAGCAGCGAGCTGCTTCGTTTCTTTCACCACCACTTTCTGGTGAGATTTTCTGGTTAACTGCTTCTTTTTAAAAGACAGCGGAGATGCTATTACTTCTTCTTGAGTGGGTAGACTGTCAAGCAGAGATGACAAACTGCTCAATGCCTTCGCTTTCTCTCTGGTCCTCTTCCGCTTCTTCCCTATGGTTTTCTTCACGGACAGCTTCTGATTGTCTTGCAACTTGTTGATAAACCGCAGCTGCTTATCCTGCTTTCGAACTTTACTAGACTCCTTGGCTGCGTCTCCATCGCCAGCGTTCTTGATACTCTTCACAGACTTCGCTTTCTTTGCTTTCACTTTCGCCTTCATGTTGTTCGCTCACATCCACATACGACAATGCCTGAAACATAGAGGACAGGGAAAGCCATTGTGATTAGTTCAGCACAAAACCTTCCATCCTCCTCAAAAGGGACTCGAAATACGACAACTTCGACTTTCATCGACAACAGGTTTGCTTGCACCGCTCTTACTTAATCGCTACCTCAGCTCCGATCAAAGGAGCTTAAAATTAAGCTCACAAACAGATGTATCCAACTGACTTGATGCGTTACTGACCAAGTGCCCGCGGTTTGCCAGGCAAGAATGTTCAACCGCTTCTGCGGTATGGACGACAACAAATTCTACAGTGAGCGTGACTTATATCTTTACCTGAAAGTGTTGGCAAAGGGAATGTCCAAGGCTGGACTATTTTATCCGTCAGAGCTAGACGATGGAATAAGCTACGTCAATTGTGTTTGGGCTGAAACACTTGCAGAGGAACCAACTCTAGTCGAGTACTTGGGGTCACAAGCTGCGGCGACAGACTTTATAAACCAATTTGTGGCCACCCATGCGGTCGCGGACAAAGTATCACTAGAGGTAACACTGCTAAGGAACTCTGTCTCCCAGAGCTGAGGCTTGTACCACTCTGCAGGCTTCTGAACAACCGCGAAAGAAAAACTAACTGGCGTAAAATGTAGTACCCCACACTGGACTTATGCATTTGCTGCGTGAAATGTGTTATCAATTGAAAAGAATAAAAACTGCACAGCTTGTCAAATTATACGCGGTCTTATGAGCAGAGAATGATGATGCGCAAATGTGACAACAAAGTGACACCTTCCTTGTGAAAGAGTGAAGCTGAAATGACGGCAGGCACGCTTGAAACCTTTAAGCCAGTCCGGGCTAGCCACTGACGATGTAAAGTCAGGCACGAAAGTACATCTCTTTGCCTAATTTTAAGCACTCAATCTTCATCCTTCATTCTTCAGGTGAAGAAAATAACTAAGTCACAAAATGTTAAGAGAATCGACTTCGATGAGCTGATGGAAGCGATACTTGAGAAGGGTTCTATCCAATCAGTAAGTCTATTCCATTCCCTATGACTCTAGAATAACTTCCCAAAGCATGTTCATTACCTTCTTTGACGGAGACTCATTCCTATGAGATATAATATTATTTGTTTGGATAGAAGAATAACTTCTAGGAAACTCATCAGACATAGGGGAAAAAAAAGGAAGAAAGAACAATAGATAGAGACTAATGCACTACCGTATCGGGGGAGACCTGTGGCCTGATTTTTATTCGTCTTACAGCAAGTGGTCATGGTGCCGAGGAAAAACAAGACTAAAGAGAAACCGAAAGCACCACTCACTGCAGAAAAGGTCAGTCAGAATCCAACAAATCCCAGGTTCGACGATTTACTAATATTCATACCAACATAAAGAGGCCACTTTGCAGTTCTTTATTGATCTTCATTCGAAAAGAACTCCACTGTATGACTGATATAATGAAAGGCTTGAGAACACAGAACGAGGTACTGTTGGTTAGAATGTACGTGACGAACTATCTCATCGATGACTGAATTTTTAAAACTCCTATATCTTGTTTGATGATGGCAGAGGCAAGCTCTAGAAAACCTCTTCACAGCAGGTGACGCGAACCAGGATGGTGTCCTGACGTTTACAGAGTTCCGTGAGATACTAAGCAGTGCAGATGCATCAATTTCACAGCAAGCAGCTCTAAGAATTTTCCGTGAAACCCTGCTCCTTGAACCTGAAGGAGGAGACAAGATCAGCCCTCTTGCTTTTGCAACAGTTGCTCACGACCATAACATTGCTGCTCCACCTTCTGTTATATACAATCTTCTGAAGAAGACATACCTTCAGGTACTTTCTAACTACGTGCACTTTACTCAACGCGACCTTGTCGGTCTCTTGAACCAGCAAAGGACATGAACGCTAATGTTGACATAACCTTCTACCTTTTGACGCCTATGTTTGCAAAACCTGACGTTCTTCTGTTTCTTACAGATCCAAGGGGATGTGAATGAAAACAAGGTGAAAGACGAGGCATCCAAAAAGGAATCAGATGAACTCAGAATGAAACTGGCTACATTGATCGACGAGGCCAAGGAGGGCAAAACGGATGAAGCAGTGCAGACATTTAAGACGTACGTCCTCAAATTCTGTGGCGCAGACCAAGGAGAGGCAGAAGCAGAGGCAGAAGAAGAGCCACCTGAGGAAGAAACAGACGATGAGGAAGATGAGCCGGAACATCAAGAGCAACATGAGATCAGCATTCTGGAGGGGGAGGAAACTGATGATGCAGAATGATAATCATGGGTGCTTTCGTGTGTAGCTTACGAGTAGGAAACAGACGAGCACAACGCCAGTATTAACAATTTTGGAACATCAAGAGCAATACGAGATCAGCATTCTGGAGGGGGATAAAACTGATGAAGCAGAATGATGATCACAAATGTACTCGTGTGTGGCTTAGGAGCAGGAAGCAGACGAGCACAAAGCCAGTAATAACAATTTTGAAAAAAACAATTCTGAGGCATTTTACCTTCATAGCACGACATCGCTAACCTACGTTATGTCGTGTTCGCGACAGAAAGCTTGAAAGTGCGGTACTTGCTGTCTACGAATGACTCTTTGGTGTAATTCGTTTCGCCACAGTGGCCTCTCGTTACCTCACACATCACTTTCAAAGTCCATAAAACCTCCCCAGAGCAGAACTAGAAAACCAAAATAGGTACTATCCGCGAGATTCACGCTGACTTCGTTTAGTTGCTTACGCAGCGGACAATGCGATAAGCGAAACCGATCATGTATGCTGGAGGTGATTTGCCGGAGGGTGGCAAACTAAACTGTAAGCGGAAGAAGTCTCCATTGAACATCTGTACAGTGAACTCGTTATATAGTGTAAGGGCAGGCTCCAAAGGCGATTAGTTCTGATGTGATGCATTAGTTCAATCACCCTCCGTCGAAGCCTTGAATGACAGAGTGACTAAGCTCATGTCACAAAACCCAGCTCAACTCCCACTGCAAACAAAACCTTTCTGAGATAGGTGAACCTCAGAAGGTTAATGCTGCAGAAACGAAATGAGAGTTGGCACTTCAAATTGGACGCATTGGAAGAGATTCCACCGAGCTCGGTAGCTCAGATGAGCCTGCGTTAAGCACCATGATTTTCTCGGCAAAAGTCTTGGAGCTGTGCCTACCTGTAAAAAAAATCTAAGTATCCACAATTTTGCTCAAATGAAGTTTAGGGACGAAGTATCAACCATGTGATTATGGTCTGGAAACTTAATACCAAAATAGGTGAGGTTTGAAGCTGTATTGCAGAGTGCCCAGGTAACCGACCCATATCCAATTTCTGGGGATTGTGAAGACACCTGGCAAAAGCGATACATCTGCCTTCTTTCCAAAAACGTGAAAAGCCGTCGAGTAGAGCACTGAGGTTTTCTCCAATCACTCGAGAGGGGACCAAGAGAAGAAAACCCGAGGCCCTCAAATTGGATCCGATTTCTTCAGCTGGCCCGCTCGCTAGACCAGCGCCGTTCAGATGCCATCGAGGAACAAAAACGACTGCTTCGGCCATCAACAAGAGCTTAGAGTCCAGATACCACATGCCTAATCGACAATCGACAATCGAGCTACATTGCACACGAGCAAGAGCAATGCAGACAGACACCGCCACCTCCACCCACCTGATTGTAAACGCCGAGCACGACGAAGACAAGCTCAACTTCTCCTCCTCCTCCTCCTCAACCCAGCACCGAAAGTCTCCTTCCCTCCCCTGGACGAATACAGAGCCTCCCTTCTCCTCGCGCCCCCAATTTCAACTCTACAGGAGAGAGAGAGAGAAGGAAACGAGGCACAGTCACACAGACGATCGAATTGCAACCGAGAGCAACGTACTACTCCTCGACCACCACAATCATAAAATCTCAACCACTTCCGACCCAGAAAAAGCGTTCGACCCTCGCGATCGACTGACTGACTCGATCCCGCACCCTCAACGAACAATGATCAGCTCTGCTCGTGATGATGCACCATCTCCTCTCATCTCATCTCATGGGCGCCCCGGCGGCGCTTCTCTGCACTCCTTCCTGTCAGTCAGTCCGTCAGTCTCCCAGTCTGTCAGTCAGTCTCTCTGTCTCTCTGTCTCTCGTCCTCGGTACCTCGCGAGGACGAGGGTTTAAGTCCGAGACGGACTCTCTCGACTGCCAACAGAACCGATCCAACCAAACAGATTGATGACATGCCCCCACCCCCTCCTCGGCCCCCCCACCCCTCCCCCGAACTCCCACCGAGTCCCGACACAATCCCCGCCTTCGTACCCCCCAACCCCCCAGCTCTCGACAACGTCCCCAATGCACCGGGCTCGGCTCTCTGGCCTCTTCTGCCCGCGGGCTCGGGAATATTCCATATGCTCCTCGCCCTCCTTTGGCGCATGTGGAAGATTCTGCGAGACGCCACGAAGCGGTCCGGCCTCGGCCCTGACCTAATTAAAGGACACCCCCTTTCCCCCTTTTGTCCCCTTTTTTTTTCCTTTTTCTTTAATTTTTTTGTGTTTATAAGTTGGCGGGTCAATGAGAAATCCTTTGCGTGGTCCACACTTCCTTCATGCGATAAGCCATAACAGTTACAGGAATATATCTCGCTCGCTTCCAGCTGCACCGAATGGAATCTCTTTAATGAAGTGGATGAGATGAGGTGAGTTGTAGTGTGTCCAAATTCCAGGCGCTTCTTTGTTTGTTTGTACTGGAGCTCCCTCTTTTCGAGTTCAGTGTGGTGGGTTTGGATGTTCATACTCTTTGACATTTTCCTCTTCGACTGTGTGGAAGAGCCTAACTCGGTGGCAAACTAATATTGTAGGCACGGAGAGATGGAGGGGTGGTTCTTGGTGCAAGCTTCGCACTCAAGACAAGAGGTAGACGACAATTTGTTTGTTCTCAAAGTCACCAAATACGTCTTCACATTAACGTTATTTTCTCCTTATAATTCTCCTCTCTATATATCCCACTTGGATATCCAGAAAAAATTTATGTACATGAACCATCTTGTATTACATCTTGCATCACACAAAGAATTTTTTTTTGGAATATTTCTTTGTTGAATTTATTTTTTTCATCAAAGAATTTTTTAAAACTCACCAATTTTTATTTTTTATGACTTTCAATATAGGTTAATAAATTTCAATGTTTTATCTCACCAAAAAAAATATACTTATACAATATAGTATGATATCAACCATAATTACTATGATACATGAGAATTCTTATTTTATATATATAGGGTGTGGACAAAAAATATAACCTATAATACTGGCATTAAGTAATTAGTATTGTATACTTTATCTTCATATGGTCAATCATAGTGATGATCAATAGCAATACGAGTCATGTTATATCTAAAGAGTCAATATACTTAGCATAAATCATTAATTGTTTCCAAGTATCTCATGAAGTTGAAAAAATATTAGTTAGAACAAGTTTCAAAACTTTATCAAAATGAACTATAATTATAAAGAAACATAATAAATGTACTTTTGAAAGATGATTCTTGGAAAAACTGAAAATAACGATTAAAAAATTTGATAGTTTCCAGTGCATACTTTGTAAGTACAATAAATAAATTTGAATTTCAAATAATTTTATTATAAATTTTAAGATTTGGTATAATCTTCTTAATATTTTTTTACATTTTGAAGTTTTACTTATCTCTATATCTTTCCATATGTTTATGTTGAGGATAACTCTAATTAAGGAGTTAATCTCGGTTAAAAATTAACAGAGGTTAGTTAACCGCACATGTAGTTATTTATAGATTAGAGTGGTTGACTATCTTGGGTATATATACCATGAGAGTGATAAGAAGAACTCACTTAAGCAGTAAACTTTCTTGAGCGTATTCCTCTGTGGACGTAGCCCCTGAGTGTGAACCACATTATACTTGTGTCTCTGCGTTCATTGTGTTGTTACTTTGATAGTTTGAGAAATTTAGCGTTACAGTTTATACAACATAATTATACAGTAAAATGTAAGACATTGAATTTACATCAATGCAGATGTATCTACAAAAGCTATTTTAGATGAAAAGCATTAGAATTAATCAAACCAAATAATTACATTATCAAATTTATTTAAATTTTATATTCGAGATATAATATTAGTCCGTTATTTAACACACTAATGCAATATATATGCATTTTATGAAATAAAAAAAAGTTGTGCTCGTCCAAAAAAAAATCAAATCTATTTCAACTTCAATTATTGATAGCTTGTATTAAAAATATTCACAACAATATAATAGTTAACTTCTAATTCTGAAATTTTTTAATTGTGAATTTTTTTATCAAATGTCTTGCATATTTTTATATATTATATCTGTCAAATTGGTAAAAAATATTTTAAATTGATTAACTTTAAAAATTAAGTTTGTTTTGATTGTTACTTTTCATCAACTATATACATAATTCGAATTGACATTCTCGTTGAAAAAACCATGGTTTTGGAAAAAATAATCAATCTCGAATGATATTCAAGGATTTAGCTCTGAGACAACAAGCAAGCCTGCAAAATATGTAAAAAATTTATGATGATTTTATTGAACATAAATAAATGTGTTCATATGAAAAATTTATTTGTATTTTAAAGATTTCATTTCTAACCTGATTCTAAATCACCTTTGATTTAAAATAAATTATTTCTAAATAATTGATCTTTTACTTGATATCAGAGAATTAATTGCACATTTAAATATAAAAGTCCCCCGACAGTTTTTAATTTTACAGAAATAAATTATATGATGTATTGTGTTTCATATACGTTGGTCTCAATTCACGTTTGGTTTCATTCACATGCCAATATTGCATGAGCTTATGACTTATGCTTCTTTTTTGCTCAAAATTAAATATGTTGAGCAAATTTGTTTTTGAACTCTGTCTGACCATTTTTTTAATATTAATTTACTATATACAAGTTCAAATCTGATGTATTTTAAATATCTGGTAATATATTTAAATTTTAAGTTCTTACATTCTATACTGGTGTTTTATTACATATCATCTAATTATTGGAAATTGGAAGAAAACATATTTTAAAATGAATGTACACCTGAAACTCTTTTAACTTTCTATCCATACCAATGGAGTAGAACATACATCGCATTCAAAATATTTGCTAACATAATATATATTTGTATGTGACTTTGATTCAGTAATTAGAACTATTTCATAATTCAAGTAGTGTTTTATATACAATTTCACAATCATTTGAACTTGTCTTAGGTTTAATTGAATGAAGTTAGACTTTTTCGATCTAGATATGTAAATTGCATCCAAATTTTGAAGAACTAACCATGCAATCAATGATGCCTGATCGAAAATCTCATATTTAAATCATATACTTATAAAATTTGGATGCTAAATGCCGTCCAAGTTTAAGAAGAGCTGTTACCATAATTACATATGAAAATGTAATTATTTATTCCAGTTTCATCGAAGACATGATGAATGAACACTTAAAAAGGATATTCGCTGGTTAAATTAAAATTTGTTCGTCCTGATTATTCCTACAAAACTGACAATTCACTCCAGTGGTATATGAAACACATTCGAATGTAGCTCCACTTCATGCTAGTTTATTTGAATTTTATCGAAAAATTTATGAGGATTTTGTGTATTTTTATTTGATCTAATAGTGATAAGGTGGATAACGGATTCCAGAATTCACCTTGATCATCTCTTTGGACCAAGCATGTAAAATAATATTCCACAAAAAAGCACTTACACATAGTTTATTATACTTGTTCCTTTCAACCGACATACAGGTTCATCAATATCGACTCGATATCCGAAATCTGACCAAATATGCTTCACGTACGATTCTGCTGACACGTGATTTCAGTCTGTCCATGATCACAGATAAAATAATAAAACACACAGTGGCTGCAAACGCAACCGCAGGCCTTGATGACATTCCACGAATTGCTCGTTCGAAGAGAAAATAAATCATCACGTAAAAGTAGCCAGTATCTCATACCCGAATGGCTGGGTATTATTACGAACCTCAGAAGATAAAAATATTGCAAAGGCCATGGGACGTGATTATTTATAAATGTGGATTTTTAAAATTCACCCCCAATTGTTAAATTCAAGGACAACAAGACTGTTAAATTTATATCTTGATGCTTTGCAAAGTACCATGTTGCATATCAGCTCCAATGGAGCTGATATGCAACTACTGTATCAGAGCCAGCACTACTATTTCCTGCACCAGACCTTTTGGTTCATTGAGCCGTGTTCAATATCCACAACAACAGCAGAAGATTCCAGTGTTTCCTCCATGTTCATGTGAAATATCACCACTTACAGCTTGTGCAAGGGAAAAAAAGAAGAAATAAGAGACCATCCGTCCTCTATTTTTAAATTAAATTTTGATATGTATTGTTGCCATAACAAACTGACGTGACGGGGTAAATTGAACAATCACTTCATAAAACAAATAAAAGATACCTCGTCGACCGTGACGGACCGTGGCCGACCGCAATTCTGGAGGACGCAGTTGGCGAGGGCCAGTACGCAGTAGGAGCGAGTACTGCGGCTGCTGTCCGAGGACGACGAAGAGCCTGGACCCTAAAGTCGACAGAGAGCAGGATAGCGCAGATTCGACGCACGCCCGGCTCCCGAATTGGCAGAGGCGCTCGTGGCAGGACGTGCCATCGCGAGCACATTGGGATTGGACTTGGATTGGGCAGCATTGGCCTCGAGCACTTGGACGAGCAAGGCAGCGATTATGTGCCATGGCGCTCGATGGGGCGATTCGGGGCGTTTTGGAGGCCCGAGTGAGGAGCACGGCGGAGTCTTGTTCTTCTTCGTCCGCGTCGTCGTCGTGGCGGGAGGGATTTGCGTCGAGCTCTAGTGGCGGTGGTGGTGGGCTGCGCGGGCGGCATTGCAATGGAGCGATTTGTTGCCGAGTTGCGGAGCGGAGGAAGCAGTTTTTCGGGTCGGCTTTGCGGTGTGGGGAGGATGGGAAGGGTGGCGGGGGGAGTGCGAGGGCGGGAAGAGCGAGGAGGTGGCATTTTGGGGAGGTGGTGGTGGATGGCGGGGCTTTTTTCAAGGTTAGGGCGGAGGCGGAGGTGGCAGATGGGTCCAGCGCCAGGTCCGAGACGGGAATTGGAGCCAGCGGGAGTGTCCGGCAGGGGCGCGATGATGATGGCGACAGCGGCAAAGCTCAGGCGCTCAGCGATTCTGCGATTTATCCCGTGATGAGAGTTTTCCGGAACGATCTTTGTAGTTTGGAAATTACCGGCGATGCCAAAGCCTTGGAAGTCGTCTCCGCCATGGCAGCTGATGGTGGGTTCACTGCCTCCGAGGAGCTTTCGAAAGGAAGGTCTCTCATGACCGTGGAGACAATTGTTCCAGGGCGTCCTGAGGATCATAGCACTGTTTCCACCAAACTAGTGAGTGCATTCCGCCCGGTTCACAATTCCGACCTTTTGACTCTGCGCGAATTCTGCTCTGTACATTCCCTGAGTTTTCTAAACTGCTGACTTCCCAGCAGCATTGCCGCATTTCTGTCTCTTCCTGTAATTCACACGGGAATTTGCTCGCAGCTTGCACCTACTCGATTGGTGAATAAGAGGGCGAAGCTCATGTGGGCCAAGGGAGTAGCCCAAAAGAAAGTGAGCCTTTCATCTGGAAATGCTCTTGCCAGGGCATTCCAGAGTGTGGTTGTGCAGCGAGTGTTGGCATTTGACCTTCGTGTACAGGTCCCCGGAACAGTCCGAGATATGGCAAACTTGGCAAATGAAAAAGAGGTTCGACTTCATCTCCTCTCGAATAAATCAAGGAAATTTTTACGAACACCAGTTTTTAATTTTTCTTTTGAAGGACCAAAATCAAGAGATCGTAGATTCTGAGTTGTCGTCAGCTGTCCGTGTGGTTGAATGCGTAAATATGGCCGACAAGTTCTTCCGTCCTTTGATTGTTTCTTTATCTTTCTCATAAATTACTTATCACCAAAAATTGATGTCACGAACCCGAAATTTGAATTCTATGTGTAATTCTAAGAGCTCGACCGTATGGATGCAGACGGGGCTTGTAGCAAGTTTGGAGTCCCGAGATGGTAAAGTCCTCGACGGACTGGCCGAAGCTGTATGCTCTTACGTTTTAGCGAACATCAAGGACACTTCCGAGCGAAAGTCTTCAGGGAAAGGAGGATTCTGGAGGGTGCTGCCTTTCTGGGATAGGCCGCAACGTGTTTGGTCTCTCGATAAGACCATTTGTTTGAGTACTCTTTCGGACAGCGAAGTCGTGCAGCATGCCAAACAAATATTGTCAACACCAACGGCTCGGAGTTACCTGCCGTCTGGTCGACTTACGAGAACGCATCATGCATGGTGGCCACTTTCCGATGTTGCACCGGCCTCAAGTTTTCTCACTAGTGACGGAGTCCATTGTTTTGCCGAGCATATTCCAATACATAGAATAGAGATCGATATCAGTAAAGTGCGAGTTGAAACCAAACATTGGAACCAGACGAGGGACAACATTGTGGAATTGCAACTTACTCATGCTCAATTGGTAAGGCCTCCAGCTTTACCTCTATTTGTCTCAATGTCTGCCCGTTAAGAAGTTGCAACTGGCGGGAATGACCGTGAAGTTTGTATGCACATCATCATCTTTTATAAGTTCACAGTAAGTTGGTTCGTCTTGCATTGGGTGATTATTGACCAGCAACAGGGAAAACGTAATGAATGGCTAGTCTTGGAGTAATATCATTTGAACTTTTAGTAGGAAGGTATCCTGGTTCATGAACGAGTTTTCGCTAAAGAGTAATGTGATTTTTACGTGAATGTACGTTATTTGCAGGTAGATATTGCCGATATGTTGGATCTTTTCTACGAAGATGGATTCACGGCTCCCTCCAAAAGGCTTCGGAGTGGGACGGACTTGAAGGTGTCGCAAAATATACGGAGTAAGGTGTTTCACTAAACTAGATGCAAATCTGCTGGACATTTCAAGTTTATGGTAGTTGACAGGTAGATTTTAATTGTCAGCATGAGATTGCCTTTTCATTGAGTTCGTCCCCGTGGGCATCTTAGCAGTTCGAGGGGCCATACTCAGATATTCAAGTTCTAGTGGACTTTCGTTGTTGCTTTACGACCGGAGGGTTTGCCTTTCGGATGTGAACATGGGTCATTTCACATCTAAGAATGTGCATCCTGTTTCTGTTTGTCCAATTTTCAGGTCGGGAAGGCTATATGGACAGCTGTTGGTTCCGTCATAACTGGAGGAATCTTGATTGTGGGTCTATTTGTAGCATCTAAAATGAGGGTCACACCCAATGGTGGCATATTTGCTAGTGATCTACCTTTTCCAGTAGGTGTGAGCGTTGCAGAAACTCTCAGATCCAAATGGTGTACCCCTAAATATAATCAAAAGGTTCGTGTCAAAGTATCTCATAGTCTAGTTTGGCGTTTGCATGTGGCATTCCAACTGGTGTAAGGTGTTCAATTCAATATGGTCGTTCAGATGAGCACGCTGCTAGCATTGAATATCTGAGGTTTAAAAGTATTGTGTATGTCCTTACTTCGTTCTTCTCTATTCTGCAGGCACTTCTTCCCAGCAACGATGACATTCCACGTGAAGAGTTGGCAGCTTTATGTGCCCAATTGATAGTTAGAATGAAGGACGCGTTTGGCCTCGATGGAGAAATCAAAACTAGTCCTGAGAAGGGTGCATGGCTCGGACCGGATATCACGGACTGGGGAAAGAAACGTAGCCCAGTTCAAGTGGATCAAAGGCGCCCTGACAGCAGCTCGGAAGCGAGAGATGCAGTTGTAAATGAGAGTTCAAACTTACCGAGGAGTGAAGCATTAGAGGAAGTTGTGTTGTGTTACCAGGTAAGCACCTTTCCGTAACAAGTAGTCCATTACTTGTGTGGATGTGAGGCACTGAAACCGGGAGACGGCGAGGAACAGATGAAGTTTCAGCAGTGGCTATCAACCGTTATCGAGAGAATTTTGCATACCGTGCCTACACTAGTTTTTCGATGAGAGGGCCGCGTGTGTACAGCTAAAGTCGGGAGTCTAGAAAACTTTAGTAAAACCATACGAATCCGTGGATGTTTCGTTCTTACTGAATATCGCAGGTTTGCTCACTTCTTCGCTTGTCATTCTTTCTATACAATCAGGTGGTGGTACAAAGGGATGGGAAGGTATTGGGTTTCCAACCTCTCAATAAACCTGCAATCAGGTATTGGGCGAACTATCCTTTCGCAGAGGACATCCACAATGGGCGGAGATTGGGACCAGGTAGGGCTCCACAACTGTGAACGGATCCATTATTTTCTGTTTTCAACCGTTGTATATTTTGGAGGAATGACGTTCATAATGATCAATCTTGAAGTTAATAGTTGGTCATCAGTGTAGGAACACTGATGACCAACTATGCGTTCTTGTTGAACCGTTACCGTCAAGCCTTTGAAATTTTTCTCTTGCATCGTTGGAGGGAAGCGGTTTCTTTCTAGCTCCGGATCTCTTACAAGATTTCTTACTCTCGCAGGTGTGGTAGAGCCGGGGCTCAGGTATGTGGAACCTCCATCACAGTTGATTGCCATCGAGCTCTTGTGTCGACCTCATTCATATACGCCTTCAATTGCAGCGAGGCCCATAGAATTAACACTCGATCAAGAACTCGATTGAAGATGTTCAACACTCCCAATAAATTCTGCAAGTCACAACGAGTACATATTGTTACCATGTTTTTCGTCGCTCTCTCACTGTTTAACTGGTCATTTATGGGTGCCGAATATATTTAATTTTGTATAATCTTGATCGTTTGCGCGAGACGATACGAAGATAGGTAAGGAGTTTATGTGAATACGTTGAAGATTCAACACCCTGAGCAGTAGTATGCCTGTCCAGCCCCCTAAGCGCATGATCACGTGCAATACAGAATTCTAACCACCAGTAAAGAGCTCAATGTGCACTCTATAATATCAGTTTTCGAAGCTTAGACTACCGAGTGAATAGTTAGAGAACGTACAGTAACTTCTCTCCAGAATCATTGCAAGTTCAACTCCGCCGACGCTTCGTAGTTGTACATGGCAAGTGTGATCTATCTTCTGGTTCACATGCCTACTTTCAAATGCGAACACCTTGACTGGGAGAGATGAGTCAAGAAAGTCGTTCAGCGTAGTTAGCCACACATCCGTGAAACGTGTTGCAGAGCAGAGGAACTGTTGTGACTGTCTCCTCCAATTTACTCGTCCTACCTCTCGTGAACTTTGTAGGGACCAACTAGTGGAGCTACGTTTGAGGTAGGTTTTCCCCATTGTTTTATTAATTCGGCCCATTTTGCTGAAGGTAAGGTCAAAACCCGTAGGAGTAACGGATAAGGACGGTTACATTTACAAAAGCTCTGTCGAAAATTTAGGGTGAAGCTCAGCCAAGTACGATTCTAGTTGTGTCTTGAAGGAAAAATCTTGTAGGAAACGTACAAGATCTTTCTAGAGAAGCCTACCACCTCGGTCGGAAGGTGCGCAAAAGCTTTGTCAACAATCTGGACGACGCTCAACCAAATATAGTGGGGTGCGAGAGCTACGCATCGCTAGTAGTCTCTCGAAATATGTACCTTGAAGGAAAGTAGAAAATCTTCCAAGAGTGTTGTGTACGAATTATATGTCTCTATCATCTTCATAGCAGGACTAGCGCAAGTATCACTTACTGCGCAAGTTTGTGAGCTGTGCTGTCGAAAAGTACTGAATTTGGGGGTTTGTGATCTCTCAAGGAAAGTACTGTCAGAAGAACATCGTTAGATTTGTTGACATGTGATAAAAGCGTCATGCGGGTGCTTGTTAATAATAAAAAATACGGGAACACATCGTAAGCCACACAAGTATGAATCCAACTAGTTTTATGGTCTCACAATGAGAATATAAATAGCAATGGATTACAAAGGGTGATTTCTAAAGTTCGAAATAGATGATAAACTCTCAGTCCTGAAAAAGCGAGAATATGGACTAAACTACGATAGAGATAAAGGAATTTTCAAAGTTGGAAACTTTGACTCATTTATCAATAAGAAACAGAGGGTTTTCAAATTTGGGAAAAGCAATGCAGCTTAGAAAGTGTCGTAGATAGTGTTTCATACAATATCGGGGCATCCGTGACAAAAGAGTAACATACATAGGCCGCCAAAATGTGCACACGAGAAGAGAAAATACACTACAGTCATATTCTGAACTTTGCACATTGTGTGCACGTCTACACATTTGGGCATCAAATGTATTGCTAGGTACAACTTAACTATCCCTCATGGAACTGTCAACAAAATTTAATATCCATAGAGAAAAAGATGCACTCGTGGTTTATTCAAAGGGGCATGTGAGGATTATCACATATTATCTTTCATGATGGGGATCAGAAAGACTTGAGGGGAGTTTACTTTGTGCAATGTCTTGAGAAGATGGGGGAGTACCTAGAAGTATTGTGACATGTTCTTCATGGAAGGGGAGAGTACGTCTGCCCTGCTACGACGCAGTCCAACGATAGCAGCTCAGTGGAGGAAATGTAGAAATGGGTACTGCAAGAATTCTGATGAGGAAGCGAGGTCTGGCATTGTTGTTGCGTTAGACATTGCCCATGCCATGAACTCTAAATTGAACATCATTAAATTAAAGTCAAAAGTTAATGCTCCACACCAAATCTTTGAATTATAGCTATTAAATGAGCGTTTTGTTGTTCTAGCGTTTTGAGTAGCGTTATGGTAGCAAAGCAGTACCAAGTTGACACTAGTCAATACATTTGTACGTGAATGTTTATAAAAACTATAATGGTTTTTTTGTATCTCAAACTTTCCAAACATTGTATGTGTTGCATGGGAATAGTGCGTTGGCAAATAATAGCTAGAATTCAAAGATCTTGTGTGGAGCATTAACTTTTGACATTAATTTAATGAGTTCATGGCATGGGCAATGTCTAACTCAACAACAATGCCAGAGTTTGCTTCCTAATCAGAATTCTTGCAGTACCTCCTAGTGGAGTTTCTACATTTCCTCCACTAAGCCGTTGTAGCAGGGCGGACAAACAATCCCCTTCAATGAAGAACATGTCACAATACTTCTAGGTACTCCCCGATCTTCTCAAGACATTGCACATAGTAAACTACACTCAAATTTTCCAAGGATTTTACTTCTACACCACACACTATTTTTTCTCCTAGTTCACATTTATGATACTTTGTCTCAACAATTTCTTCAACAACCTTCATTTTGTGTTCAGCATATGCTGTTGTGGCAACTTCTTTACATGTATTCACATTAATGGCTTTGGCAACGTCCATAGCGGTTGCAATGGTGATCTTTGTAGCTTCTTCAATGGCTACATGATCTTCAAATGGAGTGGGGTTGAATTTGTTGCCACTAGCTTGACAAGTTCAGTTGGTGTGTTTCAAGCAACTTTGATCGACTCTATTGGCGTATCGCCTTTGCGTCGCATTGCAGTTGTTCTTATTATCCTTCTCATATCTATCTTGCCAATCATGACACATGATGCTGGCTTGTCATACTATTTATAGTCTTCCTACAATGGCATAACCTCTTTTGAACCTCCGTTTAACTACTTCTCCCCCTTTTTCATGCTCTAAAGTATTTTCAAGATGATTGTTTCCTTTATATATCTACAACCTTCAACAAGTATTCCACCTCAAATATCACATATTGGTGATGTATCAACACCTTCAACGCCACTCCTTCCCTTCACTCTCATTTTTTCCACGATCGTAAATGTCAATCCTCTTCAAGGCCATTCTTCTCTCCATCTTACTCTGTCCATAGACAATTGTGTTCAAACCACTACCCGTTAATTATTCCTCTTCGCTTTAAGTCGCCTTCTTCTTTGCGCCGTCTCTTGTTTTCACATAACTCTACGTCATATTCGACATCATAAGTATGTCTAGCTTGATCACAAGCTTCAACATTAGTCTTACCATCTATTTCCTAAGCGACTTCTTCTTTATCTTTATGTTTGCCTTTTATGCAGATTCATGCTCACTATTTCTATCAACTATCAATTAATGCGTACCATTCTTCTCAATTCCATCTCTCTCAAAGCTTATATTTTCCTCCATACACAAAAAATTCAGATGCAATCATGCTATGCCACTTACTTCTTTCCTTGCTCTATCAGTTTTCAAAGATGTCTTTTGTAGAGTTGGCCCGATTCTCACATTAATTTCACCAAGAATGCGGATTCTCAAATAATGCAGAAGCTTGGTCACCATACATGTTGTTAAGACATCTTGAACGATGTCATTCACTTAATACCTGTTGCATAAGTTCTCAACATCTCACCATCCACTGCTTCTTATGGTTTTTTGCTGAAGATTGCCAAACTACTCCAAATGAAATTCCAGTTTCGTCCATCAACTGCCTTAATTGCATATTTTATGATGCACTGCTTAATAGTAACTAAGTACCTGGTACCAAACAACGTGAGGATACTGCACATGCACATACATCGAGCAAGATGGACACAGATTGAATGTTTGTTTTAAAAAGGGAGCCGCTAGTCACCACTCACTTTTCGCTATTCACCACTCACCCCAACTTTTCAAATCGTTGAAAAGCTCGTTCAAAACACCACTTACATCACCATGGATTGTTACCAAGAACTTACCACAACAATCTATGCTAGTCTAAAGGCTGCCCGCGCATTTCTAAATTCACACCTTGCCGATGAAGGCTATATCGTGACTGTTTTGCACACCAAGCGAGTCGGGAACAACAAAGACGCATTATCAGTGTTCATTTTTAATAGTGCTTTCCATCCAGTCAATCAGAGTGCGAGAAAAGTGCGCGGGGTTAGTTAAAATGGGAGATGATTGATGAATAGCAAAAAGTGAGTGGTGACTAGCGGATTACTTTAAAAAAAGTTGTCAACTTCCAGTATTATATTCACCAGACGGCCAGTTGTACGAAAGGAACAGAAGTTGGTCGTGAGTGAATGTTACATTGATTGCTTGTAACTCAAAAATTGCAGCCAAGTAATGAAGCAGATAAGTATAGGAAGCATGACAATTACTAATTAATCACCTAATCAAACTCCGTGTCTTGTGCACTACATACGTGCTCCCAAAACCTCTAGCCCCAACGACATCTTCCCCACCATCACTTCAGCCTATTGTTTCTACGAAACTTGTCAAATATCTGAAAAAATTCCGAGCCACAAACGTCAAATAGACGTATAACAGCCCTAGATTATTATCAGGTCAATTTCTTCACGTTTTTTGAGGGACAAAACTTACTTCCCACTTGCAAATCAGTGCGAGTCCCAAAATCTATCCTTATTTTGCTTCTTCCGCACTAGAGATACTCTACTTTTACACAATTAACTTCCGGCTAGACTTAAAACACTTAATGTTATCCATCTAATATTGAAACTTTTAGTTCTTTTTTGTCATTCTAACTACTTAGCCGACGGCTAATTCAAAGATTTTGTACTTCCTGAGATTTATTTCATATATGGGCATATAATTGAAATCAAAATATGACTTTGATTACTTAATCATCAAAATTTATCTTGTAGATTTAGAAGACATCGTATCAAGCGCAAGTTTTGATACTTAGAGCATTTATTATTTTTTCAAGTTTCAAAAAGAACATTCATGGAAGATTTACTTATTTTAGCAAGCTTTGTTGGATCCAAGGATTTAAATTTACCTCTTTTAGATGTTGCAACTAGAAGATTTATGTATTTTAGCATTACTAGTTGGACCCAAGTATTTTCTTTACAACTCACTTGAACATTGCACTGGTTCAATACATTTTGAACAAATAGGTTATATCTCAGATTGTATGTGGCATTTTTTATGTTCAACTATAATATTAATGATGAATTTATCTACCTTTTCAGCACATATTCATTTTCATTTACATTTTCAAGCGTGATAAACTTCAATATGTGAATTATGACCAATTTCTGATGAAATACTTCAAACATGATTTTCAATATTGTGACAAAATTTTAGATATGACAACACAAATCATCGCAAATTTTCTATGAAGAATTACATAAATTCTGGATAAAAGAACACAACTAAGGTAGCACCTTTGGCTGGCTTTACACTTCAACATCTTGTTTTGAAATAAGAAATCTCAAGTAATTTGGATCTTGAAGTAAATTTTGATAAAAAAATTTAATTATTTCTTGTACAAAATATTTTCAATTTTTAAAGAGGTATCAAGATATTTGAACACACAAAATATACCTACATTAATATAACCATGGATTTAGTTATTTTTTGTCTAAGAAAGAATAAAATTTTCTTTGGATGAGGCAAGAGTGCAAGTTAATGCTCCATCATGCATTACTAACTTTTTGACTCGCATAGGTAAAATTTTTGATCAAAATAAAGTGCTTCATAGGCTTAGTATACAACCTTTATCATCATTGTTCATGTATGTGTTAGAATACTTAAAGTCATTAAGTCTCATTCTATGACTATTTGGATAACAAACTTTATCTATGCTTGTTGCCATTAGAGATGTCATGTTAATTTGGATGTCTTTAAGGATACATGAAATTATGGTGTTACCCTTGATGCGATCAAAGATATGCTGCTATTCATGACACCTGAGAATAAATATTCCATTAGAAGAAGGGTAGGAATGCACTGTAGTAAGTTTGGGCTAGGACATATCTATTCCTAATATGAAAGTAACAAGTTACAGTTGCAATTTGGTGATTATCAATCCAAACGCGCCAGAGTTTCAAACAGGTTGATTATCAAAAATATCATTATGATCTGCGGCCACGAGTGAAACGGCAAGAGCCAAAATGTTCAATTATAGTGTTGTGCTGATTTTTCTTCTTTTAGCTTTGAAATAATATGAATGTATGATAGCAAATGTTTGTATGTGCGGAAAGTCTAGAATACTTGACGGCTATCTAGACGGCTACCCTAAACATGCTTTTGCTTTCCATAAAATGCACTAGCTAGCTTGAGAATGATCACAGCATGTGATGATTGTCAATTCGTTTGGTTGTTTGTAGATAGTTTCATCATCACTGTAGGATATGTTTTTCATTATGATCACCTATGGTTAGTTCTTTGGTCATTTTTATCTTTGTGACGTTTGATCGAAAATTCAGGTTACTTGTATCTCTGACATGTGGGAGACTTTTGTAAGTCCTATCCTGCCCAAATATTGAAAAGACTTTTCAGTGACTTTACCTTCGGAACAAAATAGATTTATTTCATTCCTTTTGCTGCCAAAGTAGCAAGCTGCAGAAGAAACGGGTAGACAAAGTAGAGAACACGTAGAGCCTTTCGGTGTTGAGGAAAAATTACCACCTCATCAATTTAGGGTTAGGATAATACAAGCGAAAAATGTGCTTCTCTTTATTCGTACAGTGGGAATGCTGAAGATTCCAGTATTGAGCAAATCTAAGTAAAATCATTGATTTGTATTTCAAACTATTCCCTTTCAGCTAAGTAGCTTTAAAACGACATCTCTTCCTTTTCAGATCAAAACGTCTTAACCTCTTTTCTTTTCAGTTTATTTGAGTTAACTCTAGTTTTTTTATACTTTTGTTCTGGAAACAAGTGGTTATTAGGTCTTGTCTTATTCACTTTTGTATATGTGTCTGGATGTAAAGAAAATCTTTTTCTGTTGTATATTCCGATCAGTCCAAATTATTCTCTCTTCTATTCAACACTATCTTCAAACAAACTTTTGTCTTAAAAATTGTAAAACTTTGTTCGCGTTTTCCATTTCTCTGTTCGTTTCAGTGCCCAGGAGTGCTGTAATTTTTTTGGATATTTCCGAAACTAAACTGGAATTTGTGTAACTTGATAATTTATTGTTCGACTCCTGATGATCGTTTTATTGGGGACACCCAGATTCTGTCTGCATGTTATCATGATAATAAAAATTCAGATCTCTACTCTGTTACCTCTATTGGAAAAAGTCGGTCTTCTGAAAATGAAAAAGCTGCTCTTCAGAAGAATCCGCAGACCATACAGAAAGACAATTTTCTGCAAAACATTCTCCATCTTCTCATATGCTGTAAAAACATGTACCAGGATATGTCATTTGCAAATCCTGCCAAGACGGCTCTCACCCAACTGAATATCTTAAATACCAAATGATGAACTTTGTTCATACAAGGTAAGAGTGTCAGAGCAAAGTCCTACAATCTGACCATTTTTTCACCAATAAATATCTCCTCCTTGCAGCGTTTTCCAAGCCGAAGGAACTTATTTGTTAAGCTTTTGCTGCAGTATCTGGATGGACTTAATATGAACCTCTATCTGAACCACATTTTTCCCACCACGGTAAGTTCTAGAAATCCGAAGCCGCATGGATGTCTCCACGTCTGGAGCTTCGTTTCAGTTGATTCAATGTATGCTCTTGCTGTCGCATTGCGCCCATCATTTGGTGGCAGATATGAAGGCAGTCGAATCTTGGCTCATAGGCACAAAATTTGAACAGCCCCATAAACATCTCGTCGAGACTTGAAATTGGACCGAGGCTACTCTGAATTGAATCATGGCGCACCATCCCATCCCGAGCACAATGCATCTTCATCTTCACTGAACTTCACAGTCGGATATCACTGGCCCTGCAAGCTCTTACTTATTTCTCTGTTCTTCTATCTCGTGCACGTCGGCATCCTACTTTATCGATTATCGGGGAGACTCCATCCTCTCTTCGATGCAAAGGTTGACTAGAATTCAATGCAGATTATGTTCGGGCAGCTGTAGATTCTCTTGGGCAGTGGTGGCTTGAGTTCTGGCCGGCGGCAGTACTTTTCACTAGCATCAACAACAAGAGGACCATCATTTCTGTATGTGTGTGTGTGTGTGTGTGTCAAATTGCTGTTCGGATGTTTGAGTCAGTTGGGTAGGGGCAGTCAAAAGGTCGTAAGCTAGCTCGACCAAAAGTGCAATCAGACAATTGGGTCAGAGTCTGAGGATAAAACCAGATCTGAACTAAGACCGGAGTCTAGAGGACCCGACATGACAACAAGATATCAGATAGATGGAATGAAATTTAGCGTCGTCCTTCCGTCAAAATAGGGCTGCAGCCTTGCCCTCTACGGAAACCAGGTTGTAGATCGTACAGCATTCCTTCTGATGCAGGAGCTGGACATGGAGGCCTGAAACTTGTAAGTGCTCGTGCTCGTGCCACTTGCCAGTGAAGACACACGTACACATACACCGGCAGCGGATGGAGAGATCACGCTTTTCGAGCTGAATTCAGCAGATTAAGAAGCGATGGAGGCGGTTGGTTTGGTTTCGAGGGAGAATCATCCTTGACGTCGTCGTACGCATACGATACGATGTAAAAAGAAGAGACAAGCGTACAGAAGCCCCGAGCATCTCCACTGGCGCTTTTTGGGCAGAACCGGAGCAAAAAGGATCCTTGGGCTTCGGAATTCAGTCACAGTGGCATGCGCGCGCACTCATGCCGATGCTCTCTCCGATGCCACGAGACGCAAGACGTCAAAGCCCCACACATGTCAACGGCGACATTCGATCCCGTCAACGCTTGCTGCTGCTGCTGCTGCATGTACATAAGCCCCACCAGGCCAGCCACACACAACCGCAGATCCCAGAAAAGCAACTCCGTGCTCAGATCAAGAGCCTCAAGCTGAGGACCGAATTGTTGGTTGTCCACTTTGGAATGGGGAGTGGCATTCGCCCCCAGAAACAAATGCCTCTACAACATTTCTCGGTCTGAAATCACTTTTTCTGATCGAGTCCACGAGCCCAGGTTTTGTTCTATACGTATGGCTGAATTATATATGAGCCCAGAAGGATGGGAGCGAGAAACTCGGGTCACAGATGAGGCCAGATTCTGTGGGAAGTGACTAAAGCCTCGGCCGTGGCACATGGAGCTAGGGAGGGGAGGGCCGAGTAGGTGCAGGGATGTGAGACCGCAGGAGAGGAGTGTGTGGAGATCCGCAGGAGATGGACTCTTGCGGGCGTAAAGGCGTGGGCTGTACGAGGGCGAAGGCAAAGGTGGAGAGCAAATGTCGACCGGTCCTGACAAAAGCGAGCAGTTGTCGACGCGAGCTTGCAGCCTCAGCCGACACGTAGTCCGAGCGCAAAAGCGTACCACAAAGAGTCCGACTCCGACACCAGTTGGCGATGGTTACGTAGGAATCGTGGAGCTTTGGATCACTCCAGGGAGGGGAGGGGCGGAGCTACACAAGGCAATCAATCAGCTTCCCCACACATCGCTAAAAGAACCCAGCCCCCCATAGCCTCGAGAAAGCCCTTGCTGCACCCTCAATCGGCACGAAGAGCAATAAGAAGAAGATGAAGCATAAGGAGAAGAAGGAGGAGGAGGAGGTGAAAAGAGAAAAGTACCAGCTTTCAGAAGAATCTCGGGTACGGGGAAAGTCTAGAACAGAACGGAACGGAATAGATCAGATCAGATCAGACACGGACAGCTCAGGGCTAGGGCAGGGCAGGGCAGGGCAGGGCAGGGCAGGGAGAGGAGAAGAAACAGACAGAAAGGAAGATGTGAGCACTTCGATCAGCCAGAAGTACACGTACAGCAGCAGCAGCAAGGGACGATCGTGGGGCTGCAGGTTGAACGTGGTTCTGTTGGCTCGTGACGGTTGAGGTTTCTGGTGACCCTTTAACCCTTTAACCAGAATCATTGCGCTCGTGCCGTCACTTGGATCCATGAACCTCCTCTCTCTCTCTCTCTCTCTCTCTGAACGAATCGTGACCTGAGGAGGAGAGTTATTCATCATCTTGTGGTCCTCGAAAGCTCACATTGTCGCCTCCCCACTGTCACTGTCCATGAATTTATCTCTCTGCTTGCTGTTTATTTGGAGCTCTCCGTGACTGCTTCAGTCCAGAGTCCAGACTGTTCTCGTGTGGGCACTAGTCACTATCTGCTGCTGCTGCTGCTATTGATACTGAATCCGCAGCCATCAAAGTGGAGAGGTGCAGAAGAGTGCATGGCCAGCCAGCGAGCCAGCCAGAAAGCCAGAATCGTGCCTGCTGTCTGTTGCCTACTCCGAGATAATATGGCAACTTCACGATGATCACGATTGACACACGCCGGTTTTTTTCCAGTCGGTGTTGTCAACGTCAAATTCCAAGGCCAGCAGTTGAGACGATCATCATTCTGCCGCAGATTTAAGAACGAGTCCACAGTACCTACTCGGACTCAGACATATTATTATTACACCTTCCTCGTATGGGACTAACCAAGACGAGCTCGTTCAGCAGGCGGCGTACTCTGAGACCACCGAGTTATCAGACTCGTCTTACAAACTCTCTGAATTCGGACAAAATCTGTCTGCATGTTGCAGAGGAAGATCGAGTTCGTGGAGATGAGATGGAACTTTGCTCCGGGTTGGCTTATTATTGTTAGGCAGAGGGAGCCAGCGGCGCGAAGCTTGTGCGGCTGAGAATGTGGCCTTCCAGCTCTCAGCCCCAGGACTCTTCCAACTCTCAACGCTACTACTACTACTACTACTACTACTCCTGCTGCTGCTGCTGCTTGTGCTGCTCACAGCCCAAATTGCCTTGCAGCCATGCTGAAGGTTCGGGTGAAATCTGGATGACGGCTAGCCCGAGAGAGGATCGGTTCTGACTGATCCGCCGCTGCTCTCATCGGTCCAGACATCTGCAGGTCCGGGTCCAGCAGCAGATCCTTCGATCGATCGATCGATCGAAGGAAGCGAATTTTGGTGGAGAGGCGAATTGCGGTCGATGGTGGGCGATCGATCGACGTAGACAGAGAGGGAGAGGGGGAGGGGACGCCATGGGGGGAATGATCCAGCAGAACTGCTGCAAGGATACGTTCTGGATGTACATCGGGGCGATCGTGGGGCTGCTGGCGTTCTCGGGGCTCATGTCGGGGCTGACGCTGGGGCTCATGTCGCTGGGCCTGGTTGACCTGGAGGTGCTGAGGCGGTCGGGCAAGCCCGACGACCGGCGCCACGCGGCGAAGATTTTGCCCGTGGTAAGGAACCAGCACCTGCTGCTGGTGACGCTGCTGGTGGGCAACGCCATGGCCATGGAGGCGCTGCCGCTCTTCCTCGACTCCGTCGTGGACACTTACGTGGCCATCATTCTCTCGGTGACTCTGCTGTTGATGTTCGGCGAGATCCTGCCGCAGGCTGTCTGCTCGCGCTACGGGCTGGCCGTGGGTGCCGCCGTGGCACCGCTGGTGCGCGTGCTGCTGTTCGTCATGTTCCCCGTGGCCTTCCCGCTCAGCAAAATGCTCGACTGGATGCTGGGCGAGAAGCACGCGCTGCTCTTCGGCCGGGCCGAGCTGCGCACCCTGGTGGACATGCACAGCCACGCGGCGGGCAACGGTGGCCAGCTCAGCCGCTCCGAGACCAGCATCATCTCCGGCGCGCTCCAGCTGGGCGAGAAGACCGCCGGTCACGCCATGACGCCCCTCGGGCGCACCTTCTCCGTCGACCTCCACTCGCGCCTCGACCGCGCCGCCCTGGCGCGCATTCTAGCCAGCGGCCACAGCCGCGTCCCGGTCTTCGCCGGCGCGCCGTCCAACCTCGTCGGGCTCGTGCTCGTCAAGAGCCTGCTCTGCGTCGACCGCCCGCGCGACGACGTCCCCGTCGCGGCCCTCGCCATCCGCCCCATCCCCCGCGTCGCGGAGGCCACGCCGCTCTACGACCTCCTGCACGAGTTCCTGCAGGGCCGCTCCCACATGGCCGCCGTGGTTCGGCCCGTCGCCGCCCCAGCTCGCCACCACGTCGTCGCCTTCGACCACGTACCCCAGAAACTCAGTCCCTCCGAAGGTCCGCAACAAGGCCCCGTTCCCAGCCCCGCCGGCGAGGATGCTCGACAGCAGCGGGAGCACAGTCATCACGCTCCAGCGACGGGTCTGGCCAATGGAAGTGTGCCGCGTAGGGTGCAGCCGTGGCCGTCGTGGGCTGAGGAGGACGGCGAAGTGGTGGGGATCATAACGCTCGAGGATGTGCTGGAGGAGATTCTGCAGGAGGAGATTTGGGACGAGAAGGACCGGTCCGCCGGGGAGCTTTGCGCCACGGGTATTCCCGAGGACCGGCCCTGGACACAGAAGCCCGTTCCCGGGCAGGCCTCGGAGCAGCCGTCGACTCCCAAGGACCGAGGCCCGATGCCGATGCCGGCATACCGGTACTCGATTTCCGCCCCGGGGTCGCCGAAGCGGAATGCCACCGCCTCGGCTCCGGATCAGCAGCAGCAGCCTCCGAAGCGGGTGTCGGCGGCTTCGGCTCCGGGCTCCCCGACCCACCACGTTCGGGTGGCCGCAGGCGCCCAGCGCAGCGGGTCGTCGGCCCCCGTGTCTCCGAACGTCGTCTACGTGGCTTCCCGAGGCTCGGCCTGTGTACGGCTCGGGAACCGCGCCTCGGTGGCCGCCGTGAACGAGCCGCCCGTCGCCATCAACAGCCGGATCCACATGCACCGGGTGCTCTTCACGAGCTCGAACGCGCCGTCGAACCCCTCGCGAGAGCTCGAGCGCCCCAAGACGGCGCCGGGCAATATGTAGCCATTGCGCCACATTGCGCTACCTCGACGACAGACGAGGGACGATTCTGGAGCAACCGCAAGCGCCGACCTCAACCTCGACCTCTTGCCCGAGCCGTGGAGCGCAGAGCAAAGCGATCAGCCAGCCAGCCAAGCCCTCCCTCGGACGCTTCTCTTTTCTTCGAAGGAACTAGTGCCTGTCTGCCTGAACGTGATGGGCCGCAGGGCGAGATCGACCTCGGGTCGTCGGGTTTGGACGACCGTCGATGGTGCATGGCTTGGCATGCCCCGATCGAGAGGATGACAGGTCGAGGGAGCATGGAGGAATTTAGCGGTGCCTTCTCCACCGTTGCAGCGTGATGTTACCCGGATGATTTCGAATTGTGGGCGCAGCGTGTGGCAAATTTTGCTTCTGCTGGAGGCGGTCTCGGCTTCCCTTCAGCCTTCGGCCTTAGGTGACAGACGTTTAGACACCCTTCAAGCCAGCTTTTAGATGGGGGTGAGGGCTAAAGACGGCGGCTACTAGATGGAGCTCGAGGTTGTGCGAGCGAAAGCAGCTGCACTCTTTCAGACCCAAATGTCTATGGTTGTTTCCGATAGTGGACTTCCCTATCCGCCCTGCCTGACGAGAGAAGGTTCTGGCGGTGTAGGTTTCAGAAGGATATGTTTCGTGGCACCTTTACCTGTGAAGAACGGATTACACGTATGGACAATAAGAAGCAATAATATGATCGTAGCCCTTACGCATGCGAGGTTGTCCTTCCTACCCTGTTCTGACTTCGGAAAATGAAAACCCAATTCAGGGCAATAAGAAAACTACGGTGAGATGTGTACGACTGTCCTACTGCTGCTTGTCAACGAGAGGAGGTGAATAGCTGGGCTTCAAACGGCTGCAGGACTTCGGGTCATCATGATAAATATCCTTAACAAGAAGCTATATCTGTGTTTGCAATTGCACAGACGAGTAAGATGTGCAGAGGAAATGAGTATCCAATCCTCACTCCCTGTGCTCACAGTTGACATTTAAGGAACACAACCCTATAGGCAGTTTGCTCCAAAACTTGATACAAGTAGCAAGAGCTAAAAACGCCGGACTCAGTAGACGGATTGTATGAGTAAGACCGGTTTGGCAAGAAAACAATCGTCGAAGGTATCCTACCAAGCACCAAAAAGCTTCAAGTGTCCTCGGCAAGGAATGAAATAGAATCGATAGCCATTCACACTAGCACACGGCAGAGACGTGGAACTTTTTTGTGCAGCTCCCAAGTGAGAATATTATTTATAATTTGAGATTGAACAGAAAATGCCATGATTCACGCGATCCGCTTGCAGTGCAGGGACTGGATAGCAGATGCGCATCGGTTCCAGGCGAGAAGTCCAACAAGATTGAGTTCTCCGCCATACCAAGGGAAAAAAATGTGTTTATGGACGTTCGAATCTGTGATCCTAAAGAGAGAGCAGCCACACATGATCAACATATACACCTATCAACAAACTAGTGTATAACTACTAGTACATCGCCAAGAGAGAAAGCCTTTTCTTGTTGGTCAATTCGGTAATCCCTCAGAATTCCTCAAACACGTTACATAGCTGGAGAGGGCGTAATGATACATAAATTACTGCAAGATGCAGCAGCCTACTCGGAAGTAGTCTTGGTCACGCAATGTGAAGTTCGAACATCTTGCCTCGATGATCCCAAATCTCACGAAAATTGCCACCACAGCGTGTATCACCTCCTAAAGGCATCATCGTCTTGGACAGCGAGAGACATCTGACATCAAGGCAAGTCGGAAGAGAGTGGACAGTATAGAACAAACTTGGCACGTGTTTGACAGATAGGTGGACCACATTGGCCACCATAAAACGATCTACACAGGTGGGCAACGGGCACAGGATGCAAGGCAATCCTGCAGGAATATAACAGCCCGATACACTGGCAGGGCTAACACGAGTCGGCCTTGCAATAGGGCGTTGAAAACACCAGATACGAATGCTCCCCCACCCCGTCAGCCCTCTTTCCAAGTACCAGGCCTCGATATCTGTACACGAAGTTAAAAAAAAGGATTCTGCATTACTGTCGACCGTCACTCCTGCGACGGCGTGACATCACTACACTACGCTATCCTAATCGTCTTCCACGGTGAAGTCCGGCTCAGAAGGTTTCGGAATGTCCGGTATATGCGTTGACATCTCCGCAGCATGCATGCTCCTCATCCTCTGCACCCCTCGCATGGCATTTGCAGCAAAACGTGATGCGTAGAAAGTGGCTGCTAGACTAGGAGACATCGATCCACTGCGATCTTGCACTGACATGGCTTCTTGCAAGCTGTACTCGTCTTGCTGCCTTCGTATTTCTAACAACTTCCTTCTTTGATAGCGCCTCCACCTGGCTTGGATGAAGCATGCAGCCCACGTACGCCACTGGTGCGAGTAGTACCGGAAAGTATGCTGGAGCTGTTTGCTGTGCAAGCGCCGGAACTGACTTGCTACGAACTTCAAATCTTCTGCTTGAAGAGCAAAAGCCTCCACCTCTACCAAGGCTTTCACCGTACGGGTTGAAGACGGAAGCGTTTTGCTGGGCCGTGGGTCCAACGCCCAAGTAAGAAGCTCTTCTCCACAGAAGTCTCCAGGTTTCAATGCACCGAAGTTGAAAAATCCAGTACGACCACCATTTGTAGTCACACTCTCCAGATGACCACGGATGATGAAAAGCATTTCATTAACCGGGTCACCCTCACGCACTATGTAAGTTTGCTCTGTGTTTAGAGCAGGTTTCAGCCGTTCACAGATGGCATCCAATAGTCGGTCGTCCATTTGATCGAACAAAGGCACCTGCATCACATAAGAGGGAGCGGGACTCAGACTGAGCAATTTGGAAACAATAGTATATGGTCAATCGGTGTAGCGCACATTGGCTGCAGGCTAGAGCGTTCCGCACATCTCATGGACAGCAAACTACCACCCGAAGTCTTGAAAAGAGTAACTAATGAAAACTTCACGGCTAAAAGAGTTGAAAAAACTGGTCAAGCGAGTCCTAACGTAGATGAGAGTCCGTGGGGCGGCTCTTGTGATTCTTACCCTCCGCACGTAGTCCAGACAAAGATGTCTTTTGATGTCTCTTCGCAGGTCCAAGGGTAAGCTCTGGAGGAGCAGACCTTCATCCACACCCCTAGTGGCCACCCACTTATATTGGTCATAACGACGCACACGATCTTTCAACTCTGCAGGGAGCTGACGATGCCGCATCCATTGCTCTGTGTCTCGTCTCTTTACCCTCATCTCCTCGAGTCTTACTGTAAGACTTTGTAAATATGTCTGCGACAACGTCCGATCTGACGAATTAACAAATCTGTATCTAGCGAGTTCAAGAAAAACAGCGGACTGACTTTGTTTCAACCACTCGCGTTTAGCAGTGGACATTGCGTCCCCGACTAGAGACAGCACAGCCCTTCCCTCGCTGCACACGAATAAAGAGTTGAAGCCATTTACGCAGGAAGCGGTTTCTTCAAAAAGTGCCCTACACTTCACCTAGAATAAAGGACAATGTGACCTCTGTATTCAAGCAGCAGTCAGCTCACAAGAACCAGAGTTTCCGACCAAAAAGAGCCTGCAGCTGGATTTTCGGCCTTGCCTTCCAACTTTAGACATGTTAATTCTTCATACACAGATACCGTATCCTCAGATAGCCTGGATCACATTCCTGAGAGCGTATTGATCTTCCTTGCCCACAGAAGAAATATACACCCTTTCAAGGCTCCCTTTAGTGTTTCACGACATTCCACATCCGTCTTAAGGTATGTTCGTGTGACTTTCAGGTCCAAAGCAAGCTTCTCCAAAAACTACGACAGAGCATGTTAGATTAGAAAACTTCTTCACTAGTGTCGAGCTTGTCAATGACAGCAAGATAATGGAAACTAAGTGTACGAGGCAGAGCTTATGATCAGTAGAATCTTGGTTACAATGTCGTCTCACAAACCAATGTGATTTGTACAAGAATGGATGATTTTCGGCAGAGTTATGTGATGTTATGCATTATGCCCTTTGCCAGAAAATTCACAAAGTTCAACTTTTAAGGACAAGGCCAAGTGCCATCCCAAAGGCCCACCTGCATATTGCCGATGAGAAGTGCGAAGAGAAGTAATCCCGCGATGATAATGGCAATGGCAAAAATAATCTCCCAAACATAAGTGCTTACGGCGAGGGTCTGACCCAATGAACTGCAATCCAAAGACAAAACAAATTGTACAAGCTTAGTTGGCTGAGTAAGATTACCTGCATATTGCCAATCAGCCGGCCAAACAGGCTGAGTCCGACAACTATTATAATAATTGCAAATAGCGTCTCCCCAACACTTGCAACGGGTGTCATGCTCTGGCCGAGAGAGCTGCAAGAAAGCGGCTCGGTTAGGGTCAAGGGAGAAGAGCTTGTGGTGTCCCGTCGTCATAAGATAATAGCAAAATAATTGTCGCTAAGGGTTTGAAGCTACACAATTGGTTAACTGGCAGAACTGCAGCAGAGGTCTGTGGTCCAGCTATCCCCAACATAACAAAACCAAGCTACCAAAAGGGTTGACAGATTCCAACACCAGGGCAGGAAATCCAAAGGCCAAACCGACTACTGTATGCTGAGGTGCACGTTCACACTATACTACCGATACGCAACGAATGATTACAAGACACAATTTTTGAAGCACGTATAAATCTCTAAGACTCATGAATGCTTCGGTACAGCAACATTGATCTAGGACACTAGAGTATGGAATATGAACCCTTGGAACGCCACTGCATGACCTGGACAGATGGCTTCTCAGTCAGGGCCGTACATTGCAAGTGTACTGAAACGACCGAAGAGGCAGGGAACCGTGAACATTATTGCTTTCTAGCGAAACCTGGCAGAGCTGATACAAATTTCCTACTCTTTATCAAAGCCGGTCTACAATCACCACGTCCAGAGGCATCGTGCACTCATTCTCTGATTTGTTGCCATCAAGTAGATTTTCATAGATTGATTGACCGTACAATATCCGTCATGATGACTAAAAACAGTAAGACAGGCTTCAAAAGAAGACAAAAACTACAACAACTTAGTGTAGTAAGATAATTACCTCAAATTTAGTAAGCCGAACCATAAACAGTAGAAATACTTGTCTACAAACTTGACACTCGACGTGATCTTGTTACTCAGAGCTAAATTGAAAAGTCCATAATTGAAAGGACCATTTTCAGTTGCTGAAGTACACAATTGAGTAACATTTGTTGTGCTCCTCCAAGCGCTCCGAGCGGCACTCAAGCCGTTGCTTCTACTTCCGCAGTCGAAGTAACTTAGAACACAATTTGTGTCAAGAGGGCACGCATCCCGCCAGCAAGTATCCTGCCTTTCTATTGCTAGGAGGTACCAGCAAGCTCCAACAACCTGGAAAAATCTAAACGAAGTCACAAGACAGTCACAGAACTCAAGTACTCTCGCTGACATGCCTTCGAGCTAAAAAGCCCACTGGTTTTGCACAAAACACGCCTCTTTCAAAATCCGTTCGAAGGGAGAAAAGACAGAAACAGCAGCATGATCATGGAAGGGTTAGAAGAACATTGAACTTCATAATCGCTTCACATCTAAAGCTTGGAGAACGAACAAATATCTAGGCGACGACACAGGAACAAACTCTACAAGGTGACTGCATTACCAGCGACTTTCTATGTAAACACTTGCAGTTAGCACCAACAACAAATTCCAAACTCGTAGACTGGCGATACAATCTTACGTAAGTGTTAAAATCCTAACCCTGGGATTACAGACAATATCTGAATGGAGCATTTGACTTACATGACTTGCTAACATGTAAAGCAGCAGGTTGTATGCAGCACCAGCCCAGGCTGTCTCCATGACAATTCCCGTAGTCTTTACCATCTGGGAGGTCAAGGGAAATATTCTGAACAATCTAGGAAGGTACTGGATGAAGACAATAAACCGCAGCGCATTCTTCGTATTCGCCGCTGTTGTTCCCTTCAACAATGGTATGAACACCCAAATCACGACCTGCAAGGGCAAGAGCCACTCCTTCGTCACCTTCTACACGAATTACACGTCTGACAATGACATATTTGCCTCTGTACCGTCGGGTTTTGTAACAAACAAACTTCAAACACTTGACAAAAGGCAGCGGTTGCACACCAACTGAAGTCCTCCGCAAGTCAAACGAGCATGTGCACTATGTATACCAATGTCCTGGCCTTTTCCAGCTCATTGGACAAAAGCCATATCAACAAAGAGCGCAGACTTGTGCAACTCAACAAGCAGAATGTCTCAATCTGGAGGAAATGCTGAGACACTACGCTTGATGATTTTGACACATGGCCTCTGTGTGAATCAGAATCATTGAGTACCAAGTTTGGAGTTAAAAATTAAGGAACGTTATACGTTAAGGAAAAACGGGACATGTCAAATCCAGCAGATGAAACTGCTCGAGAGCGTCATTATTGACTATTTAGGCCGTTGACAAGTCATCCGATAAAACCAGATATAGACCGTGCATTTGTCATTCTGATAGAGTAACGTAAAGAAATGTTCGTGGATTGATCCCCCAAAGAATGATTCCGCAGTCGAATAAGAGAAAACAACAACATTCATGTGCTTATTCAACGTTCTCTGGAAAGTCTCGGGAGATGCCCAGATATATACCTGTGGAAGAGGTAGTACAGCAACCAAATCCAACCAAAAGTCCTTCTTCAGATATCTTCGCGCAATTTGTTGAGGATCGGTTACAAGCTCACCACGACCAAATACCCGTGAAGATGGTGCAATGTAAGCTGTCCGAAATTGAAGAGCCATGTGAAGCAGATACAAGGTGTCTGTCGTTGTTCGGAGCACTGTGACAGCGATGGCTAGCTTCCATTCAATCCGAATGCATATGTCATTGTCGACAATAACGGGGAGATAAAAGAAGAGGGGGTCCACAAAAACAGCCACCAAGCACGAAACCACGAAGAACCTATTCCACTTTTGAACGAAGTCGTTCCGTGGGTCCAGCACCAACTTTTTAAGGGGATCATTGTGATAGTCCTCCGCGAAAACCCTGGAGACACCTGATTTCAAGCTACGGCCCAAGCTCTTCAGACCGTTGGAGCTCCTCTCCCAACTTTTCTTCACTGAACTCGTTGTCCTTTCAAGGCTGAACGACTTGTGAAAAGCTAAACTAGCTTCTGAACCTTTATCTGATTCAGTCTCATTGTTGAATCTGCGTGGAATAACATCAAACATTGACGTGTTAGAGTCCGCAAAGAAACCCAGGCAGCACTACTCTGATAACAAAGTCGATGTTCGGGTGCAACACGACCGATACGCCAGACACGGTTCAGAGCTCGGCCGCTGACTAGAATCCTCTGACCAAAAGAGCAAAAGGTACAATCTCGTACTCGTACGGATCTAGAATGCAACGATGGCTTCAAGGAAACAGGACGGTCGTCTTCAGTCTGCTGTGGAGATACTTTTGCTTTAACGCAGACTGTATACTCAAGAACTGCAACATACAATGAGGCTAATGCAAAAGCTCAAACACGACACGATGCACAAACTACACTACACTATGACATTCAGCACAGCACAATTATAAAGAATGGGTGTGGAGAAAGGGCAAGCACCTAGGCGGAGAGATAAAGTCAAACCTAACAAATTTTCTGTTTTGGCCCTGCATGTTCTGTACTTTGATGGGACCATTCCCATGCCCATGATTCATATTGGTGAGCCTTTGCTACATAAAGCAAAGTTGCAGTCTTTAGGGTACTGTCCTCGACAAGCACGGCTCTCCGAAGCACAAAAGGCGACGATAGTGCCCACACTCAGTTCCACCACAGGGAATCAGTGCCTAGATAATTGCAGTGGTTGGTTCGGTGGGGCTTCAAGACCGACAACAACAACGGGACCAGACTTCTTGCTTCAGAAGAAGCTCCTGCATATCAATCGCTAAGGAGAATGTAAGGGAATGAGGTTCAAAAAAGCAAAAATTTCAGCTCACAACGCCTGCTTTCGTCTGCGAAAACAGGAACGACGTTCAAGGCTTCTGGCGGCACCGGAAAAGACGGATCAAGCTTGACAACTTCTCCTCCCATCGTAGTAATTACACATCTCCTGGTGAAAACAACCAGTAGGGACCATAAGCAGAATCCAGGATAAACCTCTGAGCTTCCTCCTCAGGGTACCTACCACCGTTAAAGAGACTCTTCCTATCTTAGCTATCTTCTGATGAAGATCATGTTAAAGAAAATAAGAGACGTCGCTCCTAGAAAACAGTCGGTTCACAACATTCATTTTCTACTTCTCTCGTACAGAGTTCAGTGGCTATCAACATTCCTCCATCCCTAGAAATTCCTTGCAGGGGGCGACGCAATGGCTGACTCAAATAGCCAGGTCGGAAGGGAAGACAGAGCATTCAGAAATAGATGTGTAGAGGACTAAATCTGGAAATCCCCATCGGAGCCAAGCATAGCGCTTCCTAAGGTCCCCGTATGCTTGGCGTTCATTAAATCCAGCTGCTCGCTAGTATGCTTCCCGAACTGCAATGCCTTTCCACTCCCCGTCCTAGCCTTCGCTCTCCTCCACTGCAATCCAACCAGTTCCGCTTTTCCTCCTCGAGAGAAAGCTCTTCCGCTTCCCTGAAAACTTCAACGACAGACCACTGGACTCATCATCCGGCTCAAGTACAGCAGCTGCAACAGCACTCCAGCCGACTTTCGGTTCGCTGGGGACTTTCGTTCGCTCACTCCTCTCCCTTCCTCTCGTCTTCTCCCTCTTTTCCTCTCTTCGTCTCCACTCTGGCCTGGCAGTGTCTGCCTGCCTGCTCGGTCTGCCTCGCTCAGAACAACACGGTCTTTCCGCTATAGAAGTTAAAACCTGTATCTTCGCACCAACAGTAGTGATATTGGTAGTATACGCCTAGTGGTATCCTCTATAGAGGCTAATCTATATCTCCTTCCCAGAACAGGCAGGGACCGGAAGGAATAGAAGAGACATGGTTTCTCTCTTTCAATTTGGAAGAAGTAAATTGTCCACAGTAGAGAGTAAAAGACTTGTAGCCTTTTACTCCGTACTGGGGACGGGACGGGACGGGAAGCGAGGGATGGGGATGAGGGCTGTCTCCTGCGTGCCTGATTTACTGCCTGACTGACTGACTAACTCACTGCCTGCCTGCCTGCCTGCCGGAGGGAGGACGTTTTTCTTCTCCTAACAGTAATTCAGGCACGCTCTGTTGATCTACTAAAAAACGGAACCAGGAGCTACGGCAGATTTGTGCACGTCGTTCTCTCTCTCTCTCTCTCTGATCTGCTCGGCCGCAGGCAATGATGGACCAGCAAGGTAGCTGCACAGTATAACCGACGCTTGAGCGATGTTATCGATGGATGCAACTACAGTCGGCAGCAACAGCAGAAGCCCCAGATGCGTCCACTTCTCAGGCTGTGTGGCTCACCTCCTGATTGCACTTCAGCGTTCGCTTGATTACCCTGTACTGTACATTTCCCCCAGTAGGAAACGTGCTCGGTCAAACCTTCTGCCAGACTCGGTTGAAAACTGGGGTCAGATCAAATCTGCTCAGAGGACCAAGAAGGCGAAACAGCATTATTAATGTGTTTCCGCTTGCCCTTCCCTCCCTCCCTCCCTCTCTCCCTCCCTCCGGTCTGCAAGGAGACGCTGTCCAAAACATTATCTATCTATTTCCAGAGTAGTCTTTCAAGGTCCCTCTCTCCGTTCTTCTGACTTCATCCTCCGACCGTACCCTCACTCTGTCTCCTCTGGATTCTCAGTTCCGCCATATTTTCTCATCATCTGCTCTCGGCTTACGTCTTTTTTCATCCCTAAAAAGTCGCAGCATGGACACACGTGGCCCGTCGAGAAAGAGCTGGATCTTGCTCGATTTTCGCAAGAGCAAAAGCAGTCTTTTGTCGGACGAGGGAGGCCTAAAGCAGAATTCCATCTTCAATTTTCGAATGTTCCACTTTACCACGTCGACACCCACGAAAGACTTTGCCCTTTCTTCTGCCGTCCCCATCACTGGAAAGCTAGAAGCTATTTCTTCCACGGAGCTCTCTTAATACTTTCTTTAGCTTTTGATCCCGAAAGGTGCACACTCTTCTTCTTCAATTAACAGGACCAGAGACTACTCTCGTCACAAAATTCACAACATTCGATGCCATGCGATTATGCCACACTTCGTCTCGACGACGACATCGTCGCGTTGCTTTGCCAGCGTTCATCTTCATTGATTCTTTCGCTTTCGCCGTATCCAAATCTTTCGCCGAGGCGCCAGCCACGAGGAGCTCCCCGCGCCCCGCCTTTCTGGCACCCCACCCCCAGCCCATCTATCCATCCATCTATCTATCTATCCGTCCGTCCATCCATCCACGGAGCAAGCGGCTCCTATCCGGGGCCAATTCAAATCTGTTCACTGCTCGATTGACTTCAAATGATTTCAAGTTGCGCTTCATTCTCGTCGTCACGCGTCATCAATACGCGCCACGTTCCGCGCTCCTTCCTTCCGAGCTCTCCCTCAAGTCAAAACCGGCCGGCGGACCCGCGAACGGACGCATGCATCCGCCGGACGGACGGACCTCCGTCAGAGCCAGCTCCGCCGTCCGGCTGCTTCTCCGAAATTCCCGACAGCGTCCTCCGCTGCTCTTGACGTGCGCAGAGACTCGGCGAAAGAGTCAAGCTCTACCTCTACCCGGTTGTCCATTCCTTCCCGTACGCACCACGTACAGTCAGTCAGTCCTCCCCATCCTCTGCTCGCACGCTTGCTCAGCATGCTCCACGACCGATTCACTGGACGATTCAGTCGTCCGGGGTAACCCGCCCCTGGTGCATTTTCACATCCTCCGGTTCTGGTTTAACTCCTCGGGGGGTCGTCTCGGGTTGGAGAGTACTCGGGCTAAGTTGGGACGCGGTCCAGTTGGCTTGACCGGTTCGAAGGACGATTCGCGCGTCTGGAGCTACCTGCCTTGAGTACGTTTTCACCTCCTCCGGTTCCAGGTTAACCCTCGCGGGTTCGAGCCTACCGGCACTAAGTTTGGCGTCGGTTGGCTTGACTGTACTTTTCCCCTAAGCGATGTCGGGTTCTCGTTTGAACGGGCTCACGTACCCGCTGTGTTGGACCGCGTGCTATTTATAGGCCGTGGATCCAAAAGTCAAGGCTCTTGTGGTTAAGATGGGCAAAAGGCTAATTTGGTACGGGTATTTCATCCGAGTACGGCTCGAGGGGCTCTCCGATGCTTCGATCTGAATGTGTTTTGGTGCTCGAATGCTCGAAGGCGAGGTGGATTTTTCTCCTTTAATACGATTTCCGAAACGTCACTGGTGCCCGCTGGCTCTGCCGAGTCAATCCTATGGTCCTGTCTTCTAGCACACACTCTCCTCCTTCAGGGAGACGAAATCTATCGCCCAAAAGGCACATGACGCATACGATTCTGGTCGATTAACGAAATTCACACATTCCCAAATGACACCCATTTTCGAATATCTTCTCACGAGCCAACCGAGAGAGCATTCGGCCCGGCTAAAATTCGGCCCGGCTAAAGTCAAATAAAATCGCAGATTTCGCTTCCTCAGATATTTCCAGTCATTGTGTGAAAGGTGTAATATTCTTCGGAAATCATTCTGAGCTCCTCGGAGTAGCTCTGGATATTCTCGACTCATCCTGTACTCGACTCTTCAGGGTCTGCTCTTATGAGATCAATCCAGCTCTTCGACAATTTTCAGTTGTTCGCTATATTCTTCTACTTGTTTGCGGATGATACTGCTCATATCATATGGTCATTTACAATCATCATTTAAGATTATTTTTTCAAATAGAATATATCAGGGGTAACTTTCAAAGCAAGAAAATCAAATTCTAAGGACTCTGGGAAATGTGGTCGTTAACATCTTTGACTTGAGTTTACGACAATGCACTGTTTTCAGAACCTCAGAAATGTGGGCCAAGATCTCGCACCGAACTACATGAAAACTGTTGCGGACATTTCCTTCCTTGCAGAGAATAATTGTCATGAATTGAATTTCAACGTGGACAGGACCTGTTGGCATAAGGGAGCTGGAAACAAACTAAAGACCGTACCCCGACCGTACCTGGTTCCGCGAAAATCAACAGGAAGGATCCTTTGGAGCATCAGATGTCCTTGAATATGCAGGCTCTGGTCCATGATCTGCTGGATGTTCCGCACACCCGACAGATCGTGCAAAGAACTTGAGCGAAATACGAGCAATTTGAGTAAACCGCAGAAAAATTGAAATTGTCAGTCCGTTTTCAGCAAGAGAAATAATTATTTGCTATCCCGGACATATGAATTGATTTATGCGCTGTGAGAACTTTCTGTCTAACGCCTAAAACGTAGCACGGCCCGAAGGAAATACTTGTAACCCTTTGGAAATGATGAAGGCTTACGTGGTTTCCGAAAGAGTGACCTACCCTTGCATGGTGAAACATCGCGTGGTTGCTATGATATTCCGGACACAAGTATCGAATATACCCTATTAATCTAGACTTGCTGCTTGACTTGCGAAGCAGTTTCGTTCCCTCCGTATCATTCCCATCCTTGCTTTCGCACTCCCTTCGGTGGTTTCTGAAGGGAATCATACGATTCATCAGAGAATCCTGGAAGCCATTTACTTGTTCCAGAACAAATAATCCAGTGTAGAGTGACATAGAGATCATCATTCACTGTCTGAAACCTACGAAGTAATATCTTAAACAGTCAAGAAAAATTCAGCAAATTTTTAAATTCAATCACGAATAATCATTTCAAGTCTAACATGGAATTATCTATCTAAAAAAACTAGGAAACACCCCATCAAGTCTTACAAGCCATCCAAAAATATTCGCTCTCACTTTAAAACCAAGTAATTATAGGAATAAATTTAGAAAGATCACATCAGATCTTGCATGGATACAACCAAGTGGATGGTATGGAACTAGGCTCCAATAGCATCCCACTTTTAGAATTACATGTTACTCCAACTAAAATTTATCTGAACATAAAATGATCTAGACATTTGAGTAAATTGGTTTCAAATATTTAATTGTATATAGTACTAGCTCTAAAGTGTAAAAGCCTTTCAAACAAATCTAAATACATTCTCATCTAACCTTGCGTCACACTTTATTTTTGCAGCGAACAAGTTATTAAAATTCTAACAAATCTGAATGTACATCGCTAAGCGCTGGTATTTGTTTAGATACATTTTAAAAAAATTCTCATAAGTTATATGAATTATATCATTGAAAAAAATCTTGATATTTTCTAACATGTTTTTTATTTAAATATAACTGTAGTAAATCAAAATGGAACTATATTATATTTCATGATTGTATGATGATAGTAATCCTGATCATAATTTAAGCATTGATATTTTTTAAAATATATAAGTTAAAATATAATCCAAATAATATAATAACTGATTTTCTCAAATTATTTGCACGTGTTATAAAAATTTTGTTTATTGGCACTAATTTCTAATTTATTGGAAAATATATGTAAAATCAGATTATAGTTGGGTCAATCAAAAAAATCTTAGCTTAAAAACATTATTTGTCAATTCAAAAGTCATACGAAGTATTTTCTTGACTTTTGAACAGACTTTCTTGCTCAATTTACTTAAATTTGTGTGTTTCTCCTTTGTTTTGTTCATATGCATATACCTAATTATCTTATCTGTCAACATCATGTTGTATAAATCTTGTAATACTATATTTAGTTAAAGTTATATGAAATTAAAAAGAAGACTACCATCTAAAATTAGTTGCATTATGATTGATCAAACAGAACAATGAACCAGAAGCAAAATATATACATCTGTTTGAAATCGTTACATCAGATTAGAAAGTGAGCTTAACGATAATAAATTTGTGTTTTGAATCGACACATAAATCCAGTCAATATTAAAACCTTATACAACGCCCTTTTCATTTCCGACATCATTGCCACTGTGTTGAACCTAGCTCACGAATGAACATTTGTGTTGGATCAAAAGATTTCTACCATAAACTCACGATGTCTTAAGCCGAAAGTTATTCATAAGACATTCAATATGGAAGACACCGCGAAGGACCAACGACTGAGCCACTTCACCAGTTCATCCTCTTCTCTGGGAAGTAGGCCCCTGCAATTCTGTACTGTACATCCGGCGAAAGATTCTCACGAGCGCATCACGGTAAAGTATCCCCAGTTCATCACCAATTTGCGGCATACCTAGACATTACTCATGGTCATCTTGCATCAGTTGACGTAGTTGAGTTTAACCTGAACCGTTTGGAATTCGACGAGAGGTCATTGACGGACTAGTAAACTTTTCGGACGATATATGAAACCCACTGCCGGCGCCGAGGGCACTACTCGGCCGATGCTTTGCAGCCGCCGGACGGTTTCTTCTGCTGAACCGGGAATGGACTTTTCAATCTTACCGCATATTGGACAATGACATTAGACTGTCCCCTGTCGGTTTGCGGGGATGGTTGAAAATCCGGAAATCTGGATGTTATGTGAAGACTCTGCGGTACGCACCTTTCGCGCTGATGTATGATTTCGACGTCGGTCCCGTCCACGCGTCAGATCTGCTCATTTATAACCAACCCTGCCATACCGTCAACGTTTGAGAGACGAAACATCGGTCAATGAAAATACATCCATCATGTGTAACTCGCGTCCTTTCAACTGGCCCTGCATTTGTATCTGACCAACATGGACGGACTTGGGTCAAATTTCGCCCAAGCTGCGTCAGAACGGTGTAGCCATGACGAGGTTAATACTTGTGCCGGCGTACGTCAAAACAATGTTGCAATTGCCATAACTCCGCTCTCGTTGCCGTAGACATCAGACTGGCATTGGTATGTGTGTGATCGGGCAACCTGGACCAGTTTCATGGGTCACAGCTAGAGTAATTTCAATGCAGCTTTATGTAAATGATTTAGATGCAATTTTTATCACGATAGAGAGTCAATGTATCCACTTGGCCACCGTTCTCTAGTCGAGATGCTTTTCTCCTTTTGATTTCACATCCTTG